GAAACTATCTAAGTTTTTCCTTGTATACATAATATTTTCATAAATGTACTGTGAGGCAACGGTGAGGATATTTGATTGTTTAAAGCATTGACGTAATGACTCTCTAGAACCCATACCATAAATAGAAAGTATGGCTCTCTTTTGTAAAATAAATATAGTATTTATATCGGCAGCTTTACCCCATAGCAGTATGCCATATGACATAATGCTATGGAAATAACTAAAATATACAAGTTTTGCCGTCGCCACGTCTGTTAATTGCCTTATCCTTCTAATTGCATAAGCAGCAGAACTAAGTCTACTGGCTAATTTTGAAATATGGGGCCCCCATTGTAACTTCGAGTCCACTGTTATTCCTAAAAAAACTGTATCATTAACAAAATTAACTATTTCATCATTAAGCAATAGCTGCGTATTTACTTGTTTTACATTACGCAGCGTGAATTTAATGCACTTAGTTTTGTTGGAGTTCAATAATAAATTATTACATGTGAACCAATTTAGTATAGCAGAGATAGCATAATTTACATCGTCTAATTGATTACATTGGCGACCAATTTTAAACACTAACGAAGTATCATCCGCAAATAACACTATATCTGCAACTTTCTCTACCATGTAGGGAAGGTCATTTATATAAATTAAAAAGAGAAATGGGCCTAATATTGAACCTTGAGGAACGCCCATTTTTATATTAGTTCCCTTAGACTTTACACCATCAATATCTACAGTTTGCACCCTATCCTCTAGATAAGTTTTCATTAGACTTAGGTCATTATCTCTAATACCATAATATTTGAGCTTGTACAAAAGTGTTTCATGATCTACGCAATCAAACGCCTTCGACAAGTCACAAAAAACGCCGAGAGCATCCTGTGAGTTTTCCCATGATTCGAATATATGTGTAATAAGCGCTACACCTGCATCAGTAGTAGACTTGCCGGCAGTGAAACCATATTGCTGACTGTGAAGCAGTCCGTTATCCCTGAAGTATTTTAACATTTGGTTAAACATAATCTTTTCAAATACTTTACTTAGAACTGGCAAAATAGAAATTGGTCTATAGTTGCCTAGCTCAAATCTATCTCCAGATTTAAAGAGTGGAATTAATTTGCTAAATTTCATTAATTGAGGAAACACGCCATTACCAACACATTTATTGAAAATAGTAGCTAGATAAGGAGCAACAATATCTATGAATGAACTAACTACTTTAACTGACATGTCCCAGAGATTTTACGGATTTTTTAAATTTAACTGTTTGAATATTTTTTGGTGGATGGGAGCTAGATACTATCACCAAAAGTTATTTAGGCCGGTTGTGGCTCGCGGTGGCGGTTAAAAACTCTTCTGCTACAAATTATACAACATGAGCATCCTGGCTCAGGAGAAATATAGTTACCTTGTTTTTGTTTTGTAATAAAGCATTGGTAAGGTTTTAATTTTCCACTGATTTCAACGAACCTGCTATACTGTTCAAAAATTGTAGTAATATTTAGGATATCAACAACAACCGCAAAGAAAGTTATCTGTTTAGAGATTACATAGCAATAAGATCACTTGTACTCACTTTTTTATACTCAATACAACTAAACTAATTCGCTGGTGTAAAAAAATATTTAACTTAACAAACAAATATTGTTCTCTTTGATATTCGTCAAAAGGTATTCATTTGAAAAATACATCTTTCTGAAACGATTCATGACAATGATTAGATCATCATGATACCTATATGTTAGATCATGACTTCAATATTTAATTCCATTAGTTACGGGACCCTAAAATAAATTGTTTTTATTAGTGAAAGTAAAATAACCTTTCGGGTCGTGACTTTAGTGTTGCTGTCATTTTATCTAAATCTTATCTGATACAAAAGAAAATTAAACAAATTGCCTGTTTTATCGTGGAGATCCAAACATTGTTTAAGTTACTTCCAATCAAATGATTGTGAGTTCTATTGATTCTACTTTTCTTATGTATTATATTTCAGCAATAATTAATACATAAATTTCATAAATAACAAAACAAATCGACCCTATTATAATTAAGGACCCAACAAACACTGGTCCAATTATACCCATAAAACTGTTTACTAAGATTTACATACTGAATTGGTAATCACTAATCATTGTTTAAATAATGTATTTTAACCATTTATACTACAATCAAGTCTGCTGACATCGCGACAGACAGCGATTCACTTGTTAGCAATTATGGTCGTTAATAGGGTTGTCAATCTTAAAATATTTAGCCTCGTGCAAATAAATCAGAAATCTGATAACATTTCGTACAATTAGTTCGATTTGTCTCATTAACTTCGTACATTATAGTATTTTATCCATATTCGTAGGTTATGAGGGGGAAAATGTATCAAAGGCCAATCTCGTTGTTCTATGTGGCATCCCTGGTCATTAAGAAGAACTTGTAGCAATCTGTGTTCATTGCACGTGTTGTCTATGTACTCGTGTAATGCGGCGTGCAGTGTATACAAAAACTCTGAACGTAGAGTTAGACAGTCCTGTATGCTTAAACTATCATATTTTTTTGTATTTTCCCTCTATATATAAGCAGAGTTATTAAAACGAATCACTTATTTAAAGGAATATTTAGTACAAATAAGAAAACAGTGTAGGTATGTATTCATGGTATAAGCTCTTAAAAATTAATACTTCTATTAAATATTAGTATGACTTTTATATCTACTACTATTCAGGCACGTAAAATCCAGTGAATATTATCATATTCACATAATTTATATTTATATCTGCCTACTTACTTTAAATTTGATTTCCTAATACATTTGTCTTAAAAATATTGATGTAATCTATGTTATAATATTATAAATCGTGTTCACATATTATATTATATATTATAACGCTATGGTTATATTTTATCGTCTCTCGATATATTCAAGGTCACAATACTCGTTTGGGCAGTCCTAATTATAAGGTAATAAAATATTTCAATAATATTATATCGTATTTTATTTTATTTGAAAATTATGTTGTACCTATATTAATACCTCAAAAAATCAATATACATTAATTTACATATAAAAATACTCGACTACGAACTACTAAGAAAATTAGAGGTATATCTCTAAAACAAAAGTAATTTATAAGAATCTTAGTAGGTACGTACGACGGAAAGTATATATATATATATATATATATATATATGATATAGTAGTAGTAGTTAACTGCGACATTGTCCGATTTAATTTTGAGATAAAAAGCAGCCTATTCATTTCTTATAATACAATGTGTCTGTCTATAATGTCTGTATAGATCTTTATATGTATCTTTAAGTCAAACATTTAAGATCCGCTTATTTAAGTAGTTTCCTAGACAAACATCGAGACGCGAAATTTTTATATGCTGTAATAAGGAGGTAGAAGTAAACATATATAAAGGCAAAGAATGCTGATCTGCGCCTGCTTGATCATTTATGAATGTGATTATTACTTACGGAAAGGAAGCGGCCACTTAGCGTCTACTTAGTATTAATTAACAGGAACTCTGCTTCGGTCTGTTTATATTATTGACTGCTATGTTCCTGTATCTAACAGTCCTAAATAGAATGGAGGGGGTTTGTTAGTACTGAGCCTTTAGCCAGGTTAACCTCTAGGTGTAAAAAAGCGTTGTTTGGGTTGATACTTCACTTTACCTTATTGTCTTCTACTGGATCACTGCCAGCGTATACCATTAGTCTCAGTCTGCATCATTTTACATTCATCCTTAAAAAACGGAGCTACATATATATGATTATATTATAGTTTACTTATATTTATCAGTATATAATTATGCATTCTGATATGATTATACTGATGATACTGACTTAACGATGATTAGGCTTTTGAAGATAAATAAAACTCGGAAGACCTCAACTAATTTGCAAAACTATTCAATTTATTCTGTTTATATGGCCTGAATTTAAACCTACTTTCTAACAACAAGCATTCTCAGCTTGTTCGTTTCTTGCATGTAGGTAAATGTAATCTGTTTGGAATTTATAGAGTGCGTACTAAATTGATCTACTAAAGGTCAAAAGTTATACAACCTTCTATAAGATTTTTTCCATGGAAATATATCGTTATTATCCGCTAGGAAAATCCGACCATAAAGGAAGAAAGACTATAAGAGTAAATTCTAAAAAAAGTGCCTATGTTTTTATTTTTAGCAGTTTGCTATCCAAAACGATACCAAGAAAGGGTTATTAATATTGAAGCCTTTGTCTTACTTTTATAATATGGCTTACAAATATTTCTCACTCCACAGCACCCAAAACTTCTATATTCTAAAGGTCAGGTAAGCCCCGATCCACGCCTCCCACATATTTTAATTCATTCACGATTGATACAAGTTTATAAATATTACATCACCTCGGTGATTCGAAAAGTTTACGTGTAATATAGCATTTTTTTAAATATTATTTTGTTATACAGGAGATCGCGTGACCTAGGTTATAATTACCTAATCAATATAGAGGTAGTGGCTAGTGGCGGTTTGCGTCATATTTATACGACATGCCCTTGTTTTTTAGGTTCTTCTCTTTTTAGGTTCTAAATTTGACTACATTATTTTGTATATTATGCAATATTTTCGGCAATTCCAAATCGACTTTCTGATAGTTCACTAGTTCACTCCACCACTACGCCTTTCCTCAGTCTATATATTATATCAATATTTCGAGTAAAGAAACTTTCTGCAGTGGGCCACAACTAGGGTATATAATTTTTTATAAAAATTGGTCAAACCTTTTAGGAATCGTCCTATAAGAATCTACGTGTTTGTTATCAAAATATCGATTTTGATAACAAACACGAAGATTCTTATACATTAGATATATACCAATAATATGGACTAATGATGTTAAGCATTGTAAGAGGCACGCTTACTTGCAATGCAAGATGTTAAGTTGATTCGTAACTCTTTAGTAACTATAATAAATAGGTAACGTACCCACTATTAAATTATTAATTAACATTTTTAATATTTCAGCCAAACGGCAACTCCAACAGCAGCAATCGTCGAAATCTTCACGGTCACCATCGCCAGAGGTTGAGCGAGCCGCGTCGCTCAATGACACATTCCGGCCACTGCCGCGGACGCCGCCCCCGACCCGGGCGGGGCCGCCGCCCTCGCCGCCGGTGCCCACGCATCCGGTAGCCCCTGTCGCACCTGAACCTTCCGCGCCGCTTCCACTTTTACCTTGCCAAGTATGCGGTCGTACCTTCGTACCGCAGTCTCTGGCGAAACATGTCAAAATATGCGAAAAGATGACTGTGAAGAAAAGAAAGACCTTCGACTCGTCCAGACAGAGACGGGAGGGTACGTTTTTTGTTAACATTCGTTACTAATCAATGTTTGTTTTGGGACATTTTGGTTAAGGTGATGGGGTTTACTAATGCTCGTACTGTTATTATATAAATGATTATTTTAAATTATTTAGGTATATTGTGTTGAATTTATCAAATATTTCTATTTATTGATATAAAGTATAAGTACATATTTATATGGCGTGAAATTAATTTGAATTATTCTTATTATTTTCGTTTATATTTTTAAACGCTCATTGCATTTTATTGTTTTATAAATGAGTATTATTTAAGCATGTAATGTTAGTTTATTGATGAACATTTTGTTTTTGTGGGTAATAAGGGCTGACTCCGGATGGTGTTAACTGTGGTGAGTGGGTGGTCTGTTTGCGTTACACTTAGCATTTGCTTCACATTTCCCTAATAAACTTGTATCTAGACTTGCTCTGTGTAAATTTTTCACTAACAAAAGTCCATGTGCACTATGTCTATAACTTTTTAATTTAATATAAAATAAAAACATTAATATATTTTAGTAACTAATATATACTAGGTACACTAACCAGTGTTACACGCGACTTTATCTGCGTCATTGATACTAATCATTAATCTGAATATTAAATAGGATATATATATCTTCACTCTCAAATAATAGGTGTATCTGAAATTTCATAGTCTTACGCCATACAAAAATTATACATACGTTCACATTAGTAGAGATAATCAATAAAAATTGAGTTATTCTAGTAAACGTGGCACAGATATTGAGACAAAAGATATATAATAAATAAAATTTGATCTATCAGTAAAGTAATCAGTAAATAGATAATTGCAATGTCCTACATGGATGGGGCAATATGTTACTTGCATATAATACATATGTAAATCGTGCATTGTGACAAATACAGTGTCCCAATATTAACGTGGACCCTATTTACATAAATTATCTATAAGTATATTTGTGTACTATTTAGCAACGCCGCCCACCGTGGATCGTCTTACTAAACAGCTATTAGGAGCCAGGTTTCATTTGACTAATTAGATAATTTGAAATGCATGGCTTGTGTCTGTCACGTTATTACATTGTGTGAGGTATGAAATGTGTTGGTCTAATAATTTCAATATCACTCTTCATCATCATTGAATTAACTTCTTTGCTAGACACACTAGATTAAAAAGCCATTTAGCTTTTTAATAACATTTATTTTCAAACATTAATGTGTATTTGTTTCTTGAAATGTGACAATAATATCTTCAAACACTTAGTGACTTATTAAATAGTCATTCCGTTCTGTCAGAAATTTTTCTTACTAATTGCGAAATGCGGGTTATTAATGTTCACATAAATTGTACCTGACTGCAATAAATAACCAGTATTAAACATTTATACGAAATTTTTCAATTCAAAATGACAGTATAATATAAATTTTATGATATTTAATATTAGGTACAGATATATAAAATTAAATTAGTGACCAATCAGTTTATGCCTATAATACATAGAATGCAGATACAGAAATTCTTATTTATAATCATTCACTACACTATGTAAATTTACTGTTAACTACTAACTGCTGATAATGATACCGTTATGACGTTACAAATCTAACAAGATTATTTTCTAGGTGTGTGATAAGGCATATCATTATGAATACTATATAATTTCCAGGTACAGATCTGGAACAGTATTTGCCAAAGAACTTTGGTCTTCCAGAAAACAGCCCGTTCCTAGAGAAGAGTCCACCTAACACTGCCAAAGTGACGCCAAAGCCGAAAACACAATCAATCAGAAGCGCTATCACAAAGGTTTTAATTACGTTTAAAATTGTACTTTCGTCTGAAATATGTACTCTGTATAGTAACATTTTTAAACCTAGGTTTCTTACTCTATGATTTATATTGAAGTTCCATAACCATTAGCGAACGAAATAGAATAATTTTTAGTTTTTATCAGATTTCATTTTTCGTACGAGGTTTTAGAGGTTAGCCTTGCGTATCCATCTGTGCAGCCAATGGCTGAGCTGCAGAAATGTCCGTACTGTGCGCGCGCGTTCGGACCGCGCGCATTCGAACGACACGTGGAGTGGTGTGCCGACAAGGCCAAGATCCTGCCCGTAGCTCCTACCGCGCCGCCGCCACATCTGGCCGATGCCAAGCTGCGCCTTCACGCCCGCACCCAGTACAAGGCGCCCCCCGTTCGCACACGCAGGTAACTCTATATACCTATTATCTAATTTAATTATGTATTGTATAACTTAAAATTGAACTAGAATGAACTAATAAGAAAAAAAATCAATTTATTTTACCTTATGAATATTTTCAAAGTTATGTAGTACTTTACATAGGACGCGTTGTCGAAATGATTTCTATAGTTATTTCTTCAAATAATGATAATTGTGCTTTACTTTTTCATTATGAAATATTATGTACAGTTAATATGAACAGAGTTAAGTAATATGTACAATAACGTTCATTACATAAATTAAATTTAGACGTTTTGTTGCTGGATATGTCGATTCTCCACCTTAGTGATTTTCACCCATAGACATTTAAAACACCCAGACCAATACCAACAATCATAATAATAACTACAAATGTTTCTATCTTGACCATTAGAAGTAAGACTTTGTGCTAAACACTTGACAGCAAGACAGCAGACTATCGATGCCGTTAATAAATGAAAGAAATACTATGTTCCAGATCATCTCAGTCTCGTGACAAAACGTCTAACAGTCGATCAGCGTCCGTGGATTCATCGCGCGGTGTCTCCCCGCCCCGAGAACATGGCGACTACAAACACGGGCGGACTAGAGCATCAGGTATTCAAATTAAAATTCTTGTTCAACATTTAGTCCATTATCTTTTAAGAAATTTGAACATTTATATCAGTCACAGGGAACACAATTTTTTTTTATTCATATTCATATATGATATATTATTAAAAAAAAAACAAAATCCTATATACAACATAGTCTGTAAAGTTTCCTAATGCCTCGCGTTGGCTTTATTTTTCTAGGTTATTGACTTTCTGACTTCTTTTTTTTTAATAACCATTGTTATTTAGGTCGTCGGTGCTTTTTACTATATCCATATTAGGTAAAGATATAAAACCGACCGAGGGCCGTGAAATGTAATGCTCTATATATAGCTCATCGAATCAGATACCACAACATAAGTTATAAATCACTATTAAAAATCCGACCCTGCAGTACGACTCTTTATAATAACTAAATCATTATTTTCAGAATCCCTATCGAGCAATGATTGCCCTGATGATCCGTCTCCTCATATTCCAGTTATAAGAAATTCGCGAAGTACCCAGAAAAATTCTACGGGAGACGCAAATGTCAAAGCAAGACAAGCCAGACTCGCGAGAGATATTAGCAGCTCTAGGTAAACTAATAATTTTATTTACAGTAAAGTCCCTATAACACGGTTACTGTTACAACACGTTTTCAAGTCCCTCGTTTTTATAACATGTTTTATTTCCTAGTTTATTTCTGCCAAATTTATAATGTAGTGCGGTGCTTATCCTCAACACTGTAGCGTTATATATGTGGTGATGAGGTGGCGCTACATAATATATTATTTATTGTAGTATGTAGGTGAGTATACCGGTAAAATGATTGTATTATTTATTAGACATTATTAAGTTTATTGGCAGTGTGCTACATGGTTTATTAGTAACGCGTCCAGTCGACGCGGAGTCGGGACGTAGACTGATTTTACACTTAACTTAAATCTATGTTAGTGGAGACGTAAACTAAGGGAAGGGTCTCAAGTGTACAGAAATATTACAAGTGTGGGCACAATAATTTATCAGGTAAAATTTGATCATTCCTCTGAACAAAATAGTCCAGTTTTATTACACGTTAATCCGCTGTCAGATAAACCCGACAGCGAATTAACATGTAATAAAACTGTTTTTGGAGTTATATATTTGAAAATAATTGATTTTTTAGTTACATATGTACAAGTTTTTTATTTAAAAAGTAGTTATTTACTTCTTTTTTTGAACGACCAGCATGACTTCAACTATGTTTACCTATGTTAACAATTACTATAACTTGCAAGAAGTTCAGGTATATAGTGTTGATTTAATTATTGGTTGCCACGGCATGCGTAAATATAATTTACAGAAGTTTTATTTTTTATTTTATTAAGCTATGAACGAAATATATATGTTTTATTAAAAACACTTTTATTTCGTTCATAGCTTAATATTCCATTTAAACCCGCAGTGAAGAATTGAATCATTCTTCTCGTACATAACGCATTATACGCTGACACACCAGCACGTTATACGAGAATGCTCGTACAACGCGGAGCTATTATACCGTGTTATAGGGGATTACTGTATCAGCTGTTAACTGAACCTATGGTAGACAATATCCTTATAGTTTATTAAAAGCTAAATAAGGGGAAAGGAAAGAAGTAATTTATGTAATTTTTGTCTTACTACATTTTACGATGATAATTATCGTTCCTGTCTCCTTGTTTGCAATAAATCCATTCTATATAACTTTCCTTCCTTTCCTCTATTATAGAAAACCCCAAGAACGCTATCCATCATCACCTGTCCAACAAAGTAAAACCGAGCCAAATATTCGTAAATTTTACCCTGAATGTCGAAATAAACAAAGAAATAAACTGAGCATCAATAAACAGCAGAAACTAACAAAAATAGAAGATAATGTCAATAAATTTAAAGAACAAACGCTGAATAAAAGAAACAACGTAAAAACCGTGAACAAAATAGCTGAAAGAAGTCAAATACCTATACATACTAAAATTAATAGAAATGAACCAATTAGAGAAACAAGAAAGCAAAACAGTGATACAAATATTTGTGAAGAAAGTAGTAAAGACTCGGAATCAGTAAAACATGCCAAAGATAAATCAAACAAAGCAATACCAGATGAATCTAAACCAACAATCAATATAAAGAAAAAATATATATCTGGCGTGAAATCTAAAGAAAGCACTGTGAGAATTAATAAAACCCAGAAAACTAATAAACTGGTACAAGAATCTAGTTTGAGATTAGACAGTCTTGAAGAATCTCTACCGTTTAATAATGAAAAAAAATGTCATTCAATAGGAATTAACACTGAACTTATCTGTCCGTGTATTCCTTGTATAATATATGAATACCCAGAACAAAAGAAGTCAAATAAACGAAAAATTAATAACGGAGCTAATGTAAAAGTTTCACTAGAAATTGACCGTTATGTATCCGAACCAAAAATAGAACTATTATATAAAAATTTAGCTATTGTATGCTCTTCTGATTTACAACTTACAGTTGATTCAGAGATGGAATTACATTCGCACAATAAGGAACCACTAGCTGTCTCTCATATAACACCATTTGCGACAGCAAGCGACTGTGAAAACGTTACTTCAAATAACACTCAGTTTACTTATCAGAAACGTGAACTGCAAATAGAAAATAAAGATATTTATCAGATAAAGTACTTAAAAAATTTGAGAAAAAGAAGCAGTAATTCTGATGAAAACTGTTGTAAAATAACGCGTGATCATTCAGCTAAAAATTTTGAAGATGAAATTGATATAAGCAGTTTTGAAAATTATGATGGTTCCAATGATAATAAATCTTTCGACAATAACGTGGGCCGACATGGGAGTAGCGACACTTTCACAAAGTTCACAGAAAATCCCCATGATTTAGAAGAATTCATAAATATAACTAACACTATGATAAGTAATGAAACTGAAGAGAAAAAATTTGATGTGGAGATGGACATTGAAAATTTGCTTACACCAAAAACAAATTCTATCGAAGATATTAACAAAGATATTTCAAATAACGTGTTTTCAGAACAAGATAAATGTAATGTTTCGGACGTCTTTGCAGTACTTAAAAATAATTTAAAGGAGTTACTAGGAGGCTCTAGTAAAAATGAAATTAATAAATATAATCGGAATATGATAAATGTAGAGGAAATTCATGAAAGCAGGAAAGTTTGTGATTTGGAACACATAACTGTATATGAATTAAAACATTACGAACAAATTCAGCGTGAAAAAATTGATTTATTTAAAGATGTCTCAGTAGTGTTTAAGTTACCATCTATAAGCGACAACAATAAATCAGAAAAGACAGTAATGTGTAATAAGAAAAGAATGCAAAGAATATACAGAGCAAATAGAAAATATAATATGTTAAGTCACCAAAGCCGGGGTAATACGTTCATTGTAAAAAAAGATCATGAAGATAGTGATAATCAATCAGCTACATCTGAAGCACCACCTCTCAAGTTACCTCGTATTACACTTAAGAGGTTAGAGTCCTTCAATCCCTTAAACCACATCCTTGGTAACAAATTCTTTGTTATCTGTAAGCATGTAATGTGAAGTAAGGTAACATGTAATGTAATGTATGTATTTAACATTTGCAAATTACATTTTCAGGCTAGATGACAATTACGATCCATTTGTATCAGCTGCTAGACAAATGAAGGAACTTATGTCTTCAGATACTAATATTCCTCAAAAACTTAAAAATTCTTCCAAAGACCATAACCGAACCCTTCCTATACTCCGTCCTGCTAAAGAAAAGTCACTTTCATACTTGCGAATTACAGATAATACCAAAATGATGAAAGATACTCTTAACAAAACCTACCAAAAAACTCCTACATTACAAAGAATGAAATCATTTGGTAGCTCCAACAATGATAATACAAACAGCACGATAGGTAGTAGATGTAGTTCGTTTAGATTAAATAAAAACGACAAAAAGCCTAGTCCGAAAATAAATACTACATTCAATAAATCGAGCAAAGAAAATGTCAGTACCATAGACAAAACCTACTTTAATCGTAACAGTAGTTTAAATAGGTCCTTTTCGAGTTATACCGCGTCTAATTATAGTACACCGAAACCAAAAGATAAAATTCCAAAAATAGCGACTTCTATGTATCATAGTTTTCAAAGAAATACAATTAAACAACCAGTTAAATTAGATAAAATAAAGCATATCGAGGACAAAAAAGACTTTGTTAATCTTGATATAATTCTTACAGATACCGATAATTCTTCCATGACAGACAGTAATTACATTGATCCGAGACTTATTAATGAAAATGACAATTTACCCATAAATGTTAACACTATTTTAAATAACCCTGATATCATAAGTAGTATGGAATCGTTACTAACTACAGAGAATCTGCCCGCAAAATTCGAATCTTTTAATACTAGTCATCAAAATAATAATAATAATGAATACAACGATGTTGTACAGTCAAAATTTAAATATATTAGTAGTGAAAATAATAATTTTTCAAACCAAATTACTACTCCAACAATAGATGATTTAAGTGCACAATATGATAAAATAATGACGTCTTTAGAACAAAGTATAGCTTCGAAGACATCCATCAGAGATGATGATTCTTTATGTGAGGACTTTGATCTTGAAGAATTCATGACTTCTTTTGATGATGAAATAAATAAACAAAAAGTAGAAAAACGAACATGCAGCTCAACAACTAGAGTAGTAAAACAATCAGAGCTGGTTGATAGTAATAGAACACCAGAATATGATAGCATTAACCCTTCCCCTAAGATAGTAAAAAGTAGTAGTAATGGGATGATACCAGTTAACAAGTCTATGTCTCTTAATTTTAGCAGTAACAATATCGTGAGTGAGAGTCTCTTCCCATCCTCTGTAAAACGTTCCACATCCCTCCTTGATTCCATTCAAAGGAAGAACGCACCTAAAGGTGAAACTGTAAAGAACCGCAATAAAGTGGATCAATTGGAACAAGACATAATGCAATCTCTAAAAGATTTAGACAAATTTTACGAACCTGAAAGAAACGAAAATAATCAGACACCTAAGGAAACGGCAAAGTACAATACTCCGGTTCATAACGGTACGGCAAAACGGATGGATACACGCATCAAATCCGAGAAGAAAATCAAGAAAAATGAAAATATTTGTAATGGAAACTATACACCTAATGGCAAAACCAGTAACGATTCTGCCTATAGCAGGTTAGTCAGGTAAACTTATTTCCATATAAGGGATTAAAAGCAATTATTGTTACTTAATATAAAACTCCTGATCCTATAAAAATTATGAAAAATAAAATTTTATACACTTAATTACAGCTTGAATAGAATATCCCCTTCGAAGCTATCACTGTGTAATTCAAAAGAGCCAAATGGTATTACGTCGCTTGAGCAAATCCCTGCTGGATTAGATTCCAGTGGTAGTCACAAGGAAGATGTCCGATCAGTCTCTAGTGAGGAATTCCTCGCCATGGAGCGTTCCGCTGAAATCGACGAAACCCTTTCACCGCTGGATATGCATACATCTTACAAGGAATTAGACAGTAATACTGTTAATGGTAATGTTTCACTTTATTATATTAATTAATAATAAACCTAAACGTTCAGTTTGTTCACAGATAATTTGTTTCTATAATTTTTACAATTTATACGGAAAGGATTTCTATATTTTTTGTATTCATTTTAAAGGAATGTCAGAATTTTTCGTACTAAACATCCCCATCAAATGACTCGACAATATTTGTTAGTTTCCAATAGAAATTACCCATTGAATAGAAAACAAATTTCATTAATATATAAGTTAATGTTTTATATTTATATTTGATACCCCCCCCCCCCCCCACACACAGCGAGCTATTAGTTCTAGTATTTTGTAAATTTTAGAGAAACGAGCTAATTCTCGCACATCATGGCGACGCTGCGGGAGTGGAGGCGGCGGACAACTTAGCTCTAGTGGGTCGGAAGCATCCCTACAACGGCGCGAAGCGGTAGCACCACGCTTCTCACGGTTCTGCCATGAATGCGGTAGTAAATTTCCAGTCGACACGGCCAAGTTCTGCATTGAGTGTGGTGTAAAGAGACTTCTAGTTTGAGATGACTGCTTGAGTTTCTTCTAGTCTATGATAATATTTTTATGGATACCGATCCCGCGTGCTCAAATGTGACACATTGGCAGGCACCCGTACATTACGAAGACATAAGTATGAAATAAGGCGATTGGCTTATCGTGATTTGTGACAAACTTACCAGATATGATGATTTCAAGAGGGGCCACATCAATGTTACTGCCAATATTGTAGGCAGTCCCCATTAGTCTTGTCACTATATCATCTCCCCCATCGTATTTTAGTGTTGTTCTTCGAAAATTATAAATCGTAGATCTGTTAGAGGCAGCTGTTTAATATGTTAGAACTGTTGTGTCAAGGAAGCTAAAATGATACAATACTGATTATTTTTCAAACTTGACGAAATATCACATTGATATGGAAAAATCTGCAGTAAACCTCTCATTTTTATTTTAATTACAATTGTCGTTTATGGTGTACTTCAACCTACCGCACGTTATACCAAGATTAATAAAATTGGAGTGCAGTAATTTTGTCTATGTAGTTATATAAATGTTAGAGACCATAGAAATATTGCAATGAATGTGCTCTCAAAATTGGATTATATCTAGATACTATATAGTATATAAATAGAACTTGTCATTTGTAACCCAAATATTTGTTGTGTGATTTGTGCACAATTAATATATTAAGAGAGAACACAATATTCTATAATAATTCTGAATTTAATTTATTAATTAAAAAATAATTTTCTTTGCAAGATATGAACAAAAAGTGCCTGGATATTTATTGTAATTATACCTGCACAAAGTGTCTATTGGGCCATTATATTTATTAATGTACAGAAAATATTATGGACTATTTTAATGTGCTGCTTGCTTAAATAATTAATATATATTTAAATTTTCTTTTAAATATGTTACCAAGTTACTATTACTAATTTGTGCCTTTCTTATGTAGCAAGAGCAAATAATAATTGTATCTGTTAAATGTAAGTAGTTATCCAAGACTACTGGCCAGATCTGTCGTCGATTATTTTAAGTATCTGTGATAAATGAAGGAAATGTTTGGTAAATCTAAATTGTCTGTATTAATTTATTTTATTATTAGCACTGCATGAATTCCAGAGTGCCAATTTGTTATTTTGGGAATGGAATTTGTCCGTTTTTATTGACAAAACATTTTTTTATAGAATATATTTATTATTCTTATGTAACATTTTCAAGGATTTCCAGTCTACAATGTAGTTGGCCATTTAACAAGACTGATTTTATTTTCAAAGTTTCGAACTATGAGTAATCCTTAGTTATTGTTGTATATTGTTTTAATAAAATAACAATTTATCATGTAATAAATTAACATTTTTTAATAGTTTTTGTTTTAATTACCTATCCTCAAATATATATGAATATAATAATAATCATTTTATATATGTATTAAGACAACTATAGTTCAGTATGTTAATAAAAAAATTATAGATTTACAATAAAATTATTGCTTCAGTTTATTAAAATATTTGTCTAAATACACTCTTCACATATTAGTTTAGAAATCTAATGTACCAATACTAAAGTCTGAACATACTTCGATGAGCTTTTCTACTTGGTATGGTACCTTTCATTCTAAGCCTACGCAAGGCTTCCCTGAGGTGTTTGGGTTGTAAGGGACCTGGTTCTCCAGATTTCTCCAATACTTCTAAAGCTGAAAATCAAATGACAATCAATGTATTGTTAATAGATGCATAGGAAATATAATATGGTGTATCATATAAAATAATTAAATTATCTATGAAATGTGGGAAATTTGAAGCTATGATATTGGCTGCCCAACTACTATGTCATATAATTAACGTTTTAAAATACCTACTTTAAACCATTAATTATATATGTATGGCTTTTAGACAAAATTAATGGGTATTACAAAATATGCATTTTTTATTTTGGACTATTTACTATGAGTATAATTACAGATTTTATTAAATTTAATAAAATTTTTGGATATCATGTATACATTCTATCAAATAATGTTCCTCTTATTCAATAACTTGTCAAACAAGTTAAAATTATAACTATTGAAGTGTCATCATTGTCTTAAGGTTTTTTTTTTAGTAAAATAATAATAGTTGGTTAAATATAAGCTTATAAGTAAATATTATAACTTGTGTGTTTATTAAAAATACAAATTGTGATAAATAAGAGGATAAAATGTTATATAAAAAATAAAGATACAAGACTTCCATTTCTTTACAATATAATATTTATTAATTCACATTAATGCACTATCCTTTTACCTCACATTCTGAAAACTGATGGAAGAAATTATTAGTCTATGATACTGACCTTCTTCAACAACTTCCCCAACAAATACTTTAGCTATACCAGACATAGCAATGACAACGTTTTGGCCAACAGAGCATCCAGTTATAGTTTGCATCAGACGTTTCACAGCAGCCTTAGGGAATGCTGCTCGCCGGTACATTTCATATCTGTCCAGTTGTTCTTCTGTGAAATTTGAAACTAATACTCTGAAAACATGTCATGACAAGTATCACTCATATTGATATCAATACTTATTAATGTAAATATAAACAGAGTGAATAAATGTGATATTATATAGTGTCACTTAGCACTTAAAAGATGTACTTCCTCTGCAAACTATGTAAAGGTAAATTTACTATACCACATCCAAAAACAAAATTAGTTGCAAGCGATAAGGCAATATCTGAGGCAGCTCAGGTGTCAGTTTTGGAGATTATAATACATGGATACTAATTTATGTCAAGAAATAAAATATGAAATAGCTCTAGAATAAATAAGATTACTATGATCTAACACCTTGAAATTATATTAACTTACTGCATTTTCTCCCTTTCCTCCTCCTCTAGTTCCTTTTTACTTTTTTTCTCTCTCTCCCGTTCACTCATGAGCATCTCTTCTGTCATTTGTGAGTCATAGTTATTTGTTACTAGTTCACTTTGCTGAAATTCATTAATATCTGGAATTACAACACTGTTTTTAAGTTCAACTTCATTTAGATTAAAGCTTTCTTTAACATTTCCACTTTCAGGTTGTTCTATAAACTGTGATGACTCATATTGATAATCACTGATATATGGTTCATACTGGTCATTAACATCAGTCAATGTGTCTGTTTGTGAATTTATGAAATTATCTGAATTATCTGTGTAGATGTTTCCCAGTTCATCTGCTTGATGTACAGTTTCCACATTCTGAGAACTGTCTGAATATGTTTCTACAATTTCACTTTCTACATTAGGCGTAGAGATACTTTCACCATAGTTAACCAATGTTGTGTCTGAAATATTCAAATTAGTGATACTAGTAATAAAAAAACGAACTTTATGCTATTCTTTGATAAAAATTATGCAGTATGTAATGTATGGTAGTAAAAATAGGCATTCAAGAAAAAATAAACAAAATAGACAGAGCTCCAATATTTTCTGTCATTTTAGGGGCCCAAATTATGGTTTTTTGACAAGGGGTTCAATTTTTATATAAACAGACCAGCTAATGTATTTATTATGCTCATTCCATATTACTAGCACTGCTAAGTCCCATAAATGCTTACATTCTGGTTCATCTTTTAAAAGTTTCTCTTCAGCTTCTAAAGATATTTCTTGAGAATCGTCTTCAATAGAATCACTATGATCCAATTCATGTGCTAATTCCTCTTCTGAAAAACAATTTAAGATGTTTCCATTAAAAAGAAATTACTGCACTATTGGCCGAACGCCAATTTTGTATGTGGGGGATTATGAATCGAATAGCACTTTACCTCTCAACCTTTCTGCTTCGGAGAGGCCGTCACTACTTGGAATATCCATTTCAACGTCTACCTTTCAAATAATATTATTATAAAATGCATTAAATAGTGTTGAATTTTTAAAATTTTCAGCAATAAAAGTTCAATGAACATAAACACAGATTTTACGTTAAAGTTAATGTCAAAATGCCATGGCATTGATTACTATTTTCACCCATGGACATGAATAAAAACACTACAAAATTAGTAACTTAGAGAACGTACAAAAAAATAACAAAACTAAAAATTTTTTTACAATAGTATGGCACTAGTTTTTAATTTAGGTTAAGTTATTTTAATTTTATTATTATACGATTACCGAGAATAAATGTTCCGACAGATCCAAAATTTAAAATATAATCTGTGTGTGATTGACATACGACATTTGTAATGACAGATTGTCACTCCCGACAGCAATACGGTATCGAACCAATACCTACCATACCAAATCTATAGTCTTTTGGAGTGAATGTAAATTTCACCCAAATTTAACTAAAATTTTGTACTCCGGGTGCGGACAGAGAGTTCCATCATGAGTGCATTAATTAAGTCCTCCTTATCTAGAAGCCCAGCATCGTTGGTATGTTAAATATATAAAATCTTTGAGTTGGCTTTAGTTATGTAATATGTTTTGATGAGGTTTCGATCAAAATTACAATAAATTTCGCATTTATACATTTATTTGTTATTATTCTAGGTTATAATAAAACAGCATAATCTCTAATTTTCTTTGTGCAACATTTTTAACGAATTAATTAATATAATCAGTGTTTAACCGAACTGCTATTTGCTGACCGACTTATCTCGACATATAAAAAAATACTATATTGCATCTTATAGGAATATTTTTTTGAATTATCCACTGCTATAAAAAACGAGTTTAAACGGTATAAGTCGCCGGAACAGTTACTGCATCGGATATAGAAATGAATTTAACTTCATTTTCTAATTAGGCAATGTCCTAAACTTTTAAGTGTTCTAGTACAGTAGTGATAGTAGTAGCTAGTTTATAGATATTTAAATTTTATAATAAAATTTATATATTTTCAGGCTACATATCTGTATAGAAACCTCCACTTATCTGTTGGAGGTGCCAGTGCTCTAAAAGATAGTTCAGTTAACGCCAACACTACAAAAGCGTATACTGTCATCGACCACAAACATGATGCTTTAGTAATCGGTGCTGGTGGTGCCGGTCTTCGTGCTGCTTTTGGTCTTGTACAAGCAGGTTTCAAAACTGCAGTAGTAACAAAACTGTTTCCAACAAGATCACATACAGTGGCAGCACAGGGTGGCATCAATGCAGCTTTAGGTATGTTTTTTCTGTCGCCTCAAAAAGTGTATTACTATCACTGCTTTTTATGTAAATTATGATGTATTTTCTTTTCTGAACTGGTTTACATTATACTTCATGCAATCAGTACAGATTACAATTAATCACAAATTATGAAAAACAAAATCCAAATTACTAATAATTAACTACTTATGTTAATATACTTTATTATTATAATGGTTTGTTTTATTTTAGGGAACATGGAAGAAGACAGCTGGCTGTGGCACATGTATGATACAGTAAAGGGATCCGATTGGTTAGGAGATCAGGTTATAAAACTAAATACACACATTGCTTAACATATTTTTAAGGAATTTAACCTATTTTAGAAGTCTTATACCTGAACTAACTTGTGGAAAGAGGAAAAAATCCTAATCAATATCATAATATTTATAAAAACTCACTAACTACTCACATTAATTTAAATGTATAAAAAAAGTTGTTATTAATGTTTTTGTTATTGAAATGATAGCTTGAATGAACAATTAAATTATTATACAACTATAATTAAGTATAATACGGAGAATAATAGGTATCTTAACAATATGATACAAAAATCTTAATGTCAAGTGACATGTGTAATTTAATAAATTAATTAGGATTTAAATTCAACTAATTAAGATAATTATTGTTATTTTACTATAGGATGCCATTCATTATATGACAAGGGAAGCACCACATGCAGTTATTGAACTGGACAACTATGGCATGCCATTCTCCAGGACCCCAGAAGGGAAGATCTATCAGAGAGCTTTTGGTGGTCAGTCACTGAAGTTTGGGAAAGGAGGCCAAGCCCATAGATGTTGTGCCGTTGCAGATAGGTTGGACATATTCATATTTTTACAAATATAAAAGATATAAAGTGAACCTTATTTGAGTATAGCTTCAGTTCTTAGAAATTCAGATCCCTGCATCTAAATTTTGCAAACATTTTCCATGAGCTTGCTGGTATTATAATTAATGTAGCATGACAACCATCCTAAGCTTTATTCAACCATTTTATTTATGTCATTTTTTTTATTCTGTTTTGAGTAGTTTATGTGCAGTTGGGCCTCTTCACAGTAACTATATTATCTCTCCACCTCATCTATCTTCTAACTAGTATAAGTTAATGAACTTAACTTAAATATTCATAGAATGTATACATGTAAAAAATCTTGTCCAGGCTGACTATTTACACAGTTTAAACAATATGCAATTTAAGTAGACATTAAATAGAAAAAGCTTTCCTGATATTAATAGGCCAAATTAGTTTGAAGTTACATAATATATGTATTGTATTTATTATTCTTTTTTAAAGTAAATATGACTTCAAATTGGATAGTACAGACAGAAAGTATGGACACTAATTATCTTATTTTGATCCATTGGTTATTTTATAAAAATAGCATTGGTTAAGATTGGAATTTTGAAAACTTCTATGACACTACACATTCAAATTCGGACGCGACAGCTATTATTCTATACACACATATGTATTATTTATTATATTATATTTAATGAAATTAATTAATAAAACAAATGTATATCTATAACTGATGTTGTTTAAATATATTAAATAGTTTAAGTAGGGCCAGATTAAAGGAATCTAAATGTAAGGAAATAAATTAGAAATTAAAAAGCCTAACACTATATCAATCACGTCAGTTTATAAACAAAATAAACATCTCTATTTGTATGTCGTGGTTTACAAATGTTATTATAGTAAAATGTAATGCATAAACATAGAACTCAAGGCAATAAAAAATCGCCAGAGGTAGATTTTTAATCTTGAAGTACATAGGTAGTCCTACCTCCTACCTATTTCAGCCGCAAAGCAGCTTGCTTTTTAACGCTTGCTGTGGTTCTGTTGTAGTGAAATTACAGGATAAGAGTCATGACATCTTCATCATCATCATCATCATCATTTAGCCTGGAAGATGTCCATTGCTGAACAAAGGCCTCCTCCAAAGGTCATGACATATTAACTCTCTTTAATGGCTATACAGGAGTATCTCGGGTATGACATAACAATGTGATGTTCGTAATTATATTTATGTATATTGGCGACGGTTACCACTTACCATAAGATGGGCCGTCAGTTGCTTTGCCATTCTAATCACGTAAAGAAATCTGTAATATATTTTATTTAATTATAAAACATGAAGATTAAAAAGACTTATGACAAAAAAAACAATAATCTATGTTTTCAGAACTGGTCACTCCCTCCTCCACACTCTGTATGGGCAATCATTAAGATATGACTGTGAATACTTCATCGAATACTTTGCCTTGGACTTACTAATGGAAGATGGTGTCTGTAAAGGATGTATTGCTATTAATCTCGAAGATGGAACATTACACAGGTAAAATGTTTATTAATTGTTGTATTTGGTACTAGATGGCGTTGGGTGTATTGATTAGTGTTATTTATTTAATATTAATATAAACAAAGAAGTGATAGAGTTATATAGTAAATGGTTGTTGCATATCTTGCCATTACTACTGAATTACATAGACACGTTAACAAGAATAAGCACATTTTGTTAATAGTATTGAACTACATCTAGCATCCAAGTATCAATATACAAAAATACTGTCATGTTCTTTTAAATTAAATTATATTTAGGGACTTCTGCTCATTCTCAATTTAAGTTTTTTTATGTAAATGATGCCTTTATTGATGTATGTCTATCTAAAGATGACGATGGCAGTAATTAATACTTTTTTATTAAATTAATTTGATTGATCTCAATCATGATTAAACCAGTAATCATTATTAGCGTTAATTACTAATCATAATTTAGGGTAAATAAATAGGACAATGATGATCATCGGCACAACAACCATCATCATCATAACCACTAACATCATCGTCGTCCTCGGCGTCATAATCATCATTAGCCATAATTTGTGTCTGAAACTGAAATTACAAATGCAAAATTTGTGTGTTTGTATGTTTGGTAATTCAATAATAAAGTGAAGGAATGAATTTGTGTAAACTTTGTCAAATATATTGTTTATAAACGCAATTGCATGCAAATGCTAATTAATTTGATTTTATTAATTATCTTTTTATGTAATAATCTCCAATTCAATGCAATGTTTTATTTGCGTTTATATTACCAATTATAAATTTGTAAAATAATTTATACGCTGCTGTCAACATCGTCATTGTTGTGATGTAATAAATATTATTCTAGTCTAATTAAAGTATAAAAATGACTTACTATTTATATTATTCTATTGCAACGGCAGATTCCAAGCTGTGAATACAATCCTGGCGACGGGAGGCACTGGCCGCTCGTACTTCAGTTGCACTTCGGCCCACACTTGCACTGGTGACGGCACCGCCATGGCTGCTCGCGCCGGCCTACAGAATGAAGATATGGAATTTGTGCAGTTCCACCCTACTGGTAAGCCGTCATATCTAATCATTTATTAGAATTCAGTTATATTTAGTTTGTTTATACATAATAACATATGATAAAATCCGACTATCAGTAACCAGATTATTCATTTTTGTTACTAACAATTCATAGTTGTAATAAATTAAAAATGGTAATGTATGTGACATTTGACTAAGGAACAACATTGAGAATTTTGTCTTCCTTTCAGTCGACTGCCACAGAAGTGTGTATTTGTTTACTTATATTACGGTATCTTCGCTACAACTAAATATATTTCCATGATTATTTTTTATTTTATTTTCTACCATGTTAATATATTATTTATGTAGATGCAAATTTATCCTGGTTACTTTTTAAACGGTTTTATTTTGATTACTCTGTTTGTTGTTCTTAAAAGTGAATTTTTGTTACAAACTATATAAATATAAATTTTATTATTATGAAGAAAATATTATACAGCTTTTAATTGATTACTGTTTAGCAAAAATTCTACGGTCACTTATACCCTATTTCTATTTTTGAGGTTTACTTCACTTGTAATAAGGAATCCTAAACTATGTAACCTCAACGTTATAAATACATTTTCTTCCCGATAATTTTACATGATAATTCAATCTATTCGCGATAAATGGTAGGTATATCAAAATTGTCATTGCTTGAGCAAAGTTCAGTATTATATTGCGTCTGTAAATGTTATCCATATATCTACTAATTTTTATTGCGTTCGGTCTTGGTTGGTTTATTACCTCAATTTAAAATGTCTATTGATTGATAAATTTGACTGAGTCAGAGCCCGTGAGTGTGTTCTTGTTCTGATGCCACACCTATAATCTCTACAGTTATGTAGTTTCTAGATGACAACATACAGCCATTTTTCATCTGATCGGCCGTATGCTTGTTTGCCACCATGGTAGTATTAAAAAAACACATAAGCTTTAATTTAAAATTCATTCATTCTCATTGCCCCAATCTTTACCGGTGGTAAATATCCCTTCCCTAAAACATATTAAATGGATATTTTTCGATAGACATCAACACATACAGGTCACCTGCTACTAGATTAGGGGGCGCGGTGTCAAGACGTGAAACCTATATACTATATAACCTATATATATATATATATATATTTAATTACATCGCGTTGTACTTACAAACTCGATACTATCTTCCCTTTAGGTATATATGGCGCCGGCTGTCTCATGACGGAAGGTTGCCGTGGTGAAGGTGGTTTCCTTGTGAATGCAAAAGGCGAAAGATTCATGGAACGCTACGCCCCCGTCGCCAAGGATTTAGCCAGCCGTGACGTCGTCTCTAGAGCCATGACTGTCGAAATAATGGAAGGTAAGTAAATGAGATGTCCAAATACTGTATAACATGAAAAAAACCCAAATTCCTATATTCGCTAATTAGAAGACGCCAAATAATTTAAACTGTTACATAATTTTAATAGACTTTGCATTTGTAGTAGTGTAATATAGACAGTCAATAAAACCAGTAACTGCTCGCTAATACATACATCTTAATCTCATTAATTGTGTTAAAAATAAAACTACATTATTTTCTGATTAACGATTTAATTTTCATTTGTTGTTCTTTACTAGAGTTTAAAAAAATCGGTATAAAAATACATGTAATATCTGCAATAATTTAAACCAACTTATTTATAAAAAATGCATACAATGTATAAAATATTTGTGTAATCATTTATCTACTGACCATGCGTTTAAACGTAAAGCCAACTTTTAGTTAATTTACCGGTAACTGGTTTTGATTTTCCAAAATGTTTTGTAATTTTATTTCGGAAGTGTAGGTTAAAAATACGGACCCTTTTCAAAATCATATGGCTTCATAATGAATGAGGCGTATGAACATATATGAAAAAGTAGGTCCAATTAATTTCTTTTAATTTCCTAAATCGTTGTTGAATATAGAACACACTATATTCTTATATCTACTAGATTCGTGGGAAATGAACTCTCGACCTTGGCTATTATAGGGTTTAATAATCTCATTAATGACATAAATTAATTTTAAAGCGGTCTTGTTGCTAACTAATTATATCAACATTAACGAAATAAACAACTGTTCATTTGACACCACAGATAAATCTAAAAATATTCGGCTTGGTTCATTGTTTTAAATTATGGGTCAAATTAAATAGCCAATTAAAATTAATAATATTCTTATACACTAACTATATATATGTATATATAATAAACTTTAGTTGTGCAGTGAAACATATTTCTACAACTATAATTCTAAATCGATTTACCCATAAGTAAATTGTCAAAAGGGATTCTCTTACCTGAATCTACTGTGGCTAGATTTTACAAAGTCGACTGCATGGGTCACCTCTGTCCTAGCTATAACAGCCGCTAAACAGCTTTGCTTTGTAATCTAAGTTGTATCCGACTTCATTCAGGTGGAAATTTATTTATTAACATAAAAAATAAATTTCCATTAAAATAGATCTAGCCATTTCAGACAAATTTTTCTAAATTTTGATAGACTTTCATGTTCATTTAGTAATAAACTGTTATATTATGTCGCCATGTGATGCCTATTGTATCTGCCAGCCTCACCTACCCTATAATTTCATTACCATTTCTCACCCTTCAGCCATAGCACAACTTGATTAGGTAAGTCAGACATACACAATCAACTTTATACAAAGTCTAACGCCTTTAAATTGTTTGTTGAAATGATGATAGTGATACATACTTTTTGACGGCCTCGAAGTGTTATTATTATTGTTATTATATTCAGGTCGTGGATGTGGCCCCGAGAAAGATCACGTGCACTTACAACTCCACCACCTTCCGCCTGACCAGCTGAAGCAACGCTTACCAGGAATTTCTGAAACCGCTATGATCTTTGCTGGCGTTGATGTCACCAAAGAACCCATTCCTGTATTGCCTACGGTACATTACAACATGGGAGGCACCCCCACGAACTTCCGCGGTGAGGTATGTAAATTTATTAATTATATTACAGTGATAATTCGCAATAGAATATAATAATAATAATATATTTACATTTCAACACAAAAACATACTTAATATAAAATGCTGCAGAGCTTTTGCGGCATGTAAAATTCCATGCCAAAATACAGATTTGTGGAGAACTGGTGCATGTAGTAGTAGTAGATATCTGAAGAACCTGTACAATAGAATAGGAAATCCTTTATTCAAATAAACTTAATTTAAGCACTATTGAATAGTCATAACATTTTTTTAATCTACCGGAAAGCTGTCTCATCATAAGAAGAATGAGCAAGAAACTTGTGTGTTGCTCTATTAAATAATCGTTATAAGTTTATATTTTTCAAGTCGAAACGTGTGAATACGAACTACCAACTAGTAATATAAATACACAGTATGTCTTTTGTTATAATAATAATAATCAGCCTGAACAAATCAATCAGCGCTATTTAGTGCTAAGCTAAGCAGAGATTGTGTTAACACATAATATACGAGTACATAGAAAACACACAGACCAAATACAAACAATCATACTCATGAATGTAAATGTTTGTACCGCGCCGGGAATCTAACCTGTGACCGGAAATAAGACGGTGTGGTAGACCACCGAAGACGTCAAAGCAACAGTAATGAAATGTTATAATCATATTATCTTTCTTCTGTCACATTATTAATGCCATCGGCCTATAGTGTCATACTTAATATTTTATCAGTATTTACGTATACTTATGTTTAAATAATGTATTATATATATGCATTCAAGAAGTTATACCCAATTGTTGTAGTTTGCCAAATTATACTTGTACTCTTACTGTACTCTATTTTGTAATTCTTATCTCAATTTTTTTTTAATATTGTAATTTCAGTATGTAGATGCGTTACAGGAAAAATTTAAATATTTTTTCTAAATAAATGATTCTTTAAGTATTCATAATACATGAAATAAAATTTGAGACCAGATTGAACAATTATTTTACCAGTGTAATCAGGTATTTTTTTAATTCTATCCTATATTTCTTTATGTATATTTACAGGTACTACAATTTATATTATTTATACTCTTTATTGCACCAATTACAGAACAAAAAAGATATAAAAATAAATATACTTTAACTAATACAAAAGGCGGCCTGGAAGACATTGCTTAGCTATAAAGCAATCTCTTCCAGACTACCTTTGGGTGGATAGAGAGAGTAAAAATTAAAGAAAAGGAACTATGATGATAATTTTATTTTTATGACAGGTGATTACACACCACAACGGCACAGATCGTGTAGTACGAGGTCTGTTCGCGGCAGGAGAGGCTTCTTGCGCGTCTGTACACGGGGCAAACAGACTCGGCGCTAACTCACTGCTCGACATTGTGGTTTTCGGCCGCGCCTGCGCACAAACAATCGCTGAAGTTAACAAACCTGGCGATGCTCAAGCGCCACTTAAAGACGTAATATTCTGATTTTACTAATAATCTTTTTATAGTACAGAGAACAAATCACACAGAGAAAGTTATATCATAAAATTAATATGGAAACAACACAAGGCTAATCTGTATAGATTGCCAAAAAGATAATTGCTATTGATAAATAGTTTCAAATGTTATCGTTATATCTGAACTAATTAACCAGCACTTGTGTGTTGTGTTGTTCTATTGTTGTAGCTTCGAAGATTTGATTGATTTAATATTATAATAAAAATACCTAAAACGATATTATTTTTTTAATAATTTAAGTTAATATTCAATTACTACTTACTACAATAAAAAAATATTTTATAGTCTACAGGAGAGGCGAGCATTGCCAATTTAGATAATATTCGATACGCCAATGGATCCACTCCCACAGCGGATCTGCGTCTGCGCATGCAGAAATGCATGCAAAAGAATGCGGCCGTGTTTAGGCAGCAGAACACACTTGAAGAAGGTAATATTGAAATGTGTTCATGGTGTAGCTATATTCCATCTAGAGTAAAATATTATTTTTTTAAATAGATGATAATGGAATGGTGTCATTCTCCGCTGGTGGTAATTGGACTTATGTGCGGACCTCCGCACACAAGTCAAGTCAGTTAGCCCACCGTGACAATTTAATGAGGAATTTATCACGTTAATTTCTAATGGAAAACGCGTGGAGGTCATACTAACATTGCTAGCTGTGGATTCTAGTAATCTCTGGTACAGCTAATCCTTTTTTTTGATTTTGAAAATGTTTGTATTAATGAAATGTTGCAAAAACAGGAAAATCTGACGCAGACGAAGTTGCGGGGATCAGCAATTTATTCATAAAAACTAAAATTTACGGAAATGACAATAACTTGAATAAAAAGAGAAAACAGTTTTTATAGACGTCGTCTTATTAGCTCGCTAATATAAACGTATTTGCATATCATGAGGTTTAAAATAAAAATAATATTTTATATACACAGCCTAATATAACAGGCATGTCGCGCTGTAAGTAAATGTAATGGAAAAATTCCGTTTAATATGGTGTTTATCTAACTATATTCTTTACATTGGCAGGTCAACGTCAAATCCACGAAATCTACAATCAAATCAAAGATGTTAAAGTATCAGACCACTCACTGATTTGGAACAGTGATTTAGTGGAGACGCTAGAACTACAGAACCTGCTCATCAATTCGGTGCAGATTGTGGAGGGTGCATTAGTGCGTGAGGAATCGCGCGGCGCTCACGCCAGAGAGGACTTTAAGACCCGCCGAGATGAGTACGATTATTCTAAACCATTAGAGGGCCAGGTCAGTATAATCCTACTATAATAATTTATTTCTTTATTTTATGTGGTTGGAATGGCAAACAAGGTGACGGAGTACCTGATAAGTGTATAGTAGGGATAAGTAAGTGTTAACCATCACCTATATACATGAACAGCATTAGACATCTCGTTGCCATGTCATGACCGTGATTACCGCTCATGCGTTGTCATTCCGGAGGACTAAGGTTTCATGCCTCTTATAATGTAATTTTCTGTCTATTCTGACCCTCCCACCGAAACACATCTTTCAAAGCAAGCTGCTTGAAATAGATGAGACTGAGGGACCCAGACAGATGACTTTTTTTTTACGAAGAATAAAGTTCTTCTAAGTTATCGGTAAAGTTGTACAGAAAACACAAGAATCTTTAAAAGATTACGCGGGCAAATTACATAATAAATATTAACAAAATTTGTAATTATCCATCCACCTCCAATTAACGTCCGCAAAATATTAGACTTCAATTTTTTTTTTTACATACAGTGTGCAGTTCATTTGCAGTGCGTTAATAGTTCTATTTGTTGTTTTTGAATCAAATCTTTTCTAAGATACGAAAAAGATTGACTGTGACAAACATGAACCGCCATGAACTTATAAAGGTTTTATTTTAATAATTGTATTAGTTAATTATACAAAGTATAACTAATATTAATATTGTTATATATCCAGCAATGACAAATCATTTAGCACTCGTGGGATTTTCCAAGATTATGAACATATACAAAAACTGCGTATATCTCTTTTCTTTTTTTTCAAGTACTAGTAATTATTTTATTTAATCAAATGATTTACTGACTTTTAGACGCATAATATCATAAAGATATCGTTACATTTGTTGTTACTTAAGGAAGTTATTAAACAAGATAGATAGGTTATTAATTTTATACCTAACAATATTATAATTCTATTAGTTATCAACGCCATTCTCTGCAATTGTCATAAATTTGTTCAACACTATATAAATGAACATGTTTTCTTTCTATAAATTTTTGAAACAATTTTCATTCAAATGGAAAGTTAAATATTGTTTTCTTAAAAATACATGAATACATATTTTGTAACAAATTATCTAGTGGAAATATAGTTGATCTTTTAACCTAATGATAAACTCTTACTACTTGCTATTAAAATTTGATTTGATTCGCCGGAGTCTCTATGTTCCAAATAAACATGATTAAATACAAAAGAAAAAGTAATGTCTATCCTTTAATATATATTATTTTAAGCGTAGAGTTGAAGTAAGTTTATTAATATGTATTAAATTTAATAACATTGTACGTCACTTAGGGAGAGTGGTTTTGCCTTACTCCCCAGGATTTGTAAAGGACGTGCATGGGTTCTGGGTCACTATGGGCATCACTGTTTATTCTATAAGTTTCTGTTCTATGAATCATTGTTCAAATAATATTAGATACAATTACTATTCTAACAGGGAATTTATGTAATTACCCTAATTGTTATTGTCTTTCTGATAATAAATCACGGTTAAATAAATAAAGGTCAACACGTGTACAAATATCTAACAATAGATGTTCGAAATTAGTTTGATTCCAATACCAAAAAGTTATAAATACGCACATAATAAATCACTCAGCTAGAGCGGAATATTTCATCAACTACTGACTAATATGTTGTAAAAAGTTAATTATGTAATGTACAATATACAATTATTTTATTAAAGACAAAGCTGCCATTCGAGAAACACTGGAGGAAGCACACACTAGCGGAGACAAACGTAGCGACTGGCGAAACGAAACTCACTTATAGACCCGTCATAGACAACACCCTCGACCAGCAAGAGTGTAAAACAGTACCACCTGTTATAAGGACGTACTAATCATCTGTGAGTATACGCTATTACATCTAAACAGACACTTCGTCAAATTATAGTATTTTTTTTTACAAAACGAACAAACCGACTTAATAACTCTGTTTTCTATTGTTCGTTATTATATTGAACTGAGTAAACCTAAACAATTAATGTACTCAAGTAATGTTAGTGTATAAAATGGAATCCAACTATACGCACCGACTAGAAATTGTAGTACCATATAAAAAAGGTATACGCTTAATAAGATTTATTTTCGCGATCAATGCGACGTCAAAATAAATAACGACGACGACTCTAGATAAATTTTGAAAAAAAATTGAAATCCTAGTCTGAATAATTAAAATTTTAAATCACAGCTGTTTTTGTTACATATTTAATGCTTATTTGTGATTATACCAATATTATGGTAATATAAATATTTGTGTAAGACATTTAAAAAATTGTCTCTGTTAATTTGTTTCAGGTAATAACTTTAATATTGGGGTGCTAGTTTCTCAATCGGTACTGTCTCTGCATGTGATCACTTCAACTGCGTTATTTATAATATAATTTATTTTAGAATAGCTTTTTAAGCGCCACAACATCAAAAAATATGTCCAAGTTTAGTGTCAAGGGATTTTTAAACGATATACAAGTAACCACGTGCACATCTACATATTGTAATATTTTTACCCTGAATGAAATGCAATTATATTACTGTAAAATATTTGTTACATAGAACAGCATTTATTGTGGTTGTATTTTATATTGCCCTCCGTAAAACGCGGTACTTAATCGTAATATTATTTTGTAAATTATTATAATATGCTTTATTAAGCTTCAAAAGTGTAATATATTAGATATCGGAATAAAATCATTATTATTACATAACGAGTTACACCTCCTTTCATAATCTACACAAAGCTTTTTGATGTGAATTTTTTATCTTGAATTGTCGTTTGTGTTTAGTATTTATATAGCTCATATACCTAACATGAGGTTAAGTATGTATATATGTATATATATATATATATATACCTACTTTACTTATATGAAATTGTATCAAAATTTTACTCAATGAGATTAATTGTTATTTTTAATTTGGACCTTTATCATTGATGAAGGGAAATGAGGGGCAATTACCTATTCCTCCTAATTAATTAATTAAGAAGAAGCCTGAGTATCTTTATGTAAAATCGAGGACAATATAATAAAGCCACTATTGGGTAACCTGATTATATTTAAAATATCCTAACTACACACGTACCTACCAGTATATACAATAATCATTGTTTTTAAAATACTATTTAATCATGTATTTATTCTCATTAAAAACGTTTTAAAGAAGCTTATTTTTACAGTATTACATACATATATATCACGGTACAAAATTGTGTAGAATTAAGGATACAAATTTGGATTAATATGTGAATATAATGAATTAAAATGATATTTGTGTTTAAATATTATAAATATAATGACACCGATATATACACCATTTTTTTGCATGTGCAAACTACTCCAGTCACATTTTAGTGCTAATGGATTATCTTGAAACAACAAACAAACCCCGGAAACAGATAATCTTATGTGTATTATCCAAACTAATATTATAAATGCGAAATAGTGTCGGTCAGTCTGAAACTTAATGAAATTTTATTATTACAAGGACATGTATATCTTTTATGTATAATAAAAACCTAGACGAAATCGGGATGACAGCTTGTCCATAATATTGTCTATTACAAAATTATAAAGTATTTTTAAATGTACAAACAGCATACTACGACTTGTGGAAATAATTGTTAATTTCGACCCTTCATTCATACCACATTTACTAACTTCTTTTTATTGGAGGTCTACAACATACATCCCCAATGTGGTAGGCAGGTGTTCAGATAAACTGTACTTTTAATTGTCCGTAATAAGACATAACTTATTGTATATACATGAAACTAAAAGAGACATTATTTTTCATCTATAGCCCATGATCAGTAATGTATCAAAAAATATCATTTATGATTGACCAAAGTAGCATATATTTTTCTCAATTGCAAAAGTCGTTTGCATGGGAACAGTCTCAGTTTTGACAACTTTCAACTTCAGCAGCAGGTTGTGAAAATACAGGATATGAGGCATGACATCTTAGTCCTCCAGAACGCATTAATATACATATGTATATTGTGGACGGTTACCAGTTACCATCAAGGTGGGCTGTAAGCTTGTTTGCCAGTCCAATTGGGTACATAAAAAAACAAATACATTTTACCATTTATAATACAAGTTAAGATTCGATAATATACATACATATATATATTAATAAAACTCCACATTCCGGTAACTGATAGCCACAGGGCCAGAGGTCACACCACACTTGGTTTATCTGGCAGCCATTTTAAACAGTGGCTCCTTTGTCGCGACTTGTGACGCTTGTATTTCGACTCCCGGTGCTCGCAGCCTCTCAGTGCTGACTACTCTGACTACTGTTTGCTATTTTTTCTACTGATATTTCATGCTGCTGTTTGGAATCATTGACTTGTCAAGAGAAATCGGCACTTGCAAGAGATATAATAAGGGTCCTAGATCCACCCTGTTTGGAACGTACAATAATCTGACGCTGCGTAATACATTTTTCAATCTGTGTAAAGGTATGTACGTGCATTATTTTCAATTATAGTAAATATCAGTTAACTACATTCAAACAATATGACTAAATTAAAATATAAGCTATCATATATCTAGCTAGCTAATAAGATTAGGCGCTGAGAATATAAAGTTAAGTAGATACATATCAATATTAAATGCAAACTGCGTCACTGAGACAATCTCAAAAACTCGATAATTATTTCCGCGATTCGGACGGGTTATTTATACAAAATTATATATATGGAACCACTATGGACAGCCTCAGCCGTTTAGCGATTTAGCACATCGCTTTATTTCCGATGGTCGCGGGTTTGACTCTTCGCACGGTGCAAATTTGTATTCATGAGAGTTGTTTGTATCAGTCTGGGTGTTTTCTATGTATGTATGTTATATATATTTACAAAAAAAGTATGTATTTATTATCAGTTGTCTAATGCCCATAACACAAATTCTCTGCTAACCGTGGGACTAGATGGCGTTGTGTTAATTGTCCAGCGTTATTATTATTAATTACTTAGACTATGGTCTGTCGGTGTGTCGAGTCGAGATATATAACAAAGGTTTGTCGTGTTAAATATAATAAAGGAGTCATATATAATATATAAGCAGTATTATTAATAACATGCACCAAATGCAGCGAGCAAACACGAAAGACGGGTTAACTGATCTTAATTTATCCTCACCCTATCAAATACCACGCGCAGTCAGGTGCACTGTATCATATTCATACATCATGAGGACATTTATCTCGATGGGCTAACTGACCTGACTTCATGTTCATTCTATCATTCTCCATTGGTGCCCCGCCAGTGAAAACCGTTAGCGTTAGACAGGGAATCATTCCATTATCATCCACTAAAAGAGAAGTCTATTGCTACTACGTATGTATGTACTGACGTTACTATAGCTAAATACGTACGTAAATATTAAATAGCTTGTTAATAAATAGTGTTGATTAGATTTGTTTTCTTAAGATTCGGTTTCGTAAAGTTTCCCTATTTATGTATCTCTATTCAGGCGACAGCTACCACTTACCACCAGGTGGACCGTCAGATTGTTTGCCAAAGAAAGCCTATGTTTAATGAGTGTTCTTTACATTTCCAGCTTGTCAAGTGGAGATAATGTCTTCGATTCCTCCATCTGCATTCTCTGCCGGGAGAATTCGGGACACCCAGCGTAACAAGGGCGATTTGAAACTAAAGACAAACGTCACCAAAAGCAACGAGAAATTCTTCAATACCACGTGTACACATTCATTTCGTATATTTATCATTGCAATTACCTGAAGTAACTGTATAGCTACACGTAATTGTTATTAGCTTAATGAAATTTTATTGTATTAATATGGAATAGTGCACCCAACTGCGCCTATGATGTAATCTGGCGGTAACCACTGGAAAATTATGAGTACGATATCAAACCATGAGATATTGTGGGATTTGATTTGTCTCACTCCCTCCTCCCTTAATGTCAAGTGGGATTTTTCGCGTTTGGTTTCCGTAATGGTTGCACCATATTATTTTATTAATATTATACATTAATACCCATAAGTGTTACTTTGTAGTAGGCTCTATAAAGGTAGGATAAAATTATACATTTGAAACTATTTATTTTATCAACAGAAATTTAATAATCGTAGCAGAGAACTACCTTGCCTCTGTAGCGCGGTAGTTATCCTCATCACTGTAGCGTTATATATATTGTGATGAGGTGGCGCTACATAATATATTATTTGTTGTTTATATGTACGAAGGTAGTGAGTATACCGGTTAATAATTGTAGTATTTATTGGTATTCAATTGGTAATGTGCTACAATATTTATTAGAGACGCGAGTACCCAACGCGGAGTCGTACGCGGGGTCTGTTTTACACTTAACTGAAATCCATGTTTGTGGAGACGTAAACTAATGGAAGGGTCTCAAGTGTTTACCGAAATATTACAAGTGTAGGAACACCTCTATACAGAGTCCCAGTTAGTTATTAACCGAAATTGAAACAGAATCCGGAATTCTGTTTCGATAGTACAACCAAGTATTAGTATCGAAAGGATACTAGATGTGCTAGATTGCTAGTAGCAACTATAGAATTGTTTTTTATTTACATTTCAGTTAAAGAGCTTTCACCGTTGAAGTACAACAGCAAGTTGATGAATAGCATCTGGGGTTTCTACAATAGATATTCGCCACACAATGTGAAGAAAATTAATGATGCCCATACTTTCAATGGGGAACTGTAGCCGTGAGTATAATAATATACATATAGAAAAGTTTTTAGTTAAGGATTACTTGTTATATATATATATATATATATATATATATATATATATATATATATATATATATATATATATATATATATATATATATATATATATATATATATATATAAATATCCCCTTACGACCACTTCTTGATCCAATTCAAACGGGCCAATCAGGGTGCAGCATTTGCCAAGGGCTTCCTCATTGGCACGTTTGGGCTACTACATTATGGCTACAGTAACTTAATAATGTCTAGCTAGTATTTCAAGAATAATAGTCTATCCAATCTAAATATTTATAGAAATCAGTCTGGAGTAACGTGACTCCAGATCAAACCTCAATACTTATTATTTTTTGGACGGGAATCTTTTCTTTTGTAACAAAGTTACTGAGCGAATAAAGAGAAGACGCAACGGCGGATCCAGGGGGAGCGTCATGGAGGTCATGGGAGTCATGGGGGCGTCATGACTCTCCCCCTTAGCCCAGGACTTAGGTAGACCACTAATTGAACTAAAAAATAATGAAACAGCAAATTTTTTTGCACGATCGGAGTGTTGGTGCAGTAGTATTAATTATAATTAAACATTGTTACTTAAAACATAACAGTTAAAGTACTATAACACTAAAAGCAAAATAGGTATTTTCAAAATACTTTTTCAAAATAAATTACCCTTTGAGTTTTTGTCCAAACCTCAGATATTTTATTTATTTTAGGTATATCAATCATTACATAGTATAGTATAAAACAAAGTCGCTGTCGCATCTAACAAGTACATAAATAAAGAAACAAGACTTTTTGGCTCTGAATATATTTCAAAAATCAATTACTTGTGTTAATCAATTTATATACTCGTTCTTATTTCATAGTACTTGTTTTGATCCGAATATATACAGATACCGTAACGGTCTATTAATTATGAATTTATTATACCTAACCTAGATATTTTATTTTGACGAAACTCCGTGTAGTAGTGGTATCCGATAAGGGTATGCGAACCCTAAGTATTATTTCAAAATGACCAGTAATTTCGAAGAAATAAGCCTTTGAATTTCAAATCAACTTACCAAACGGACGCTCAAGGTTCGATTCCCGCCACCGATTTTTTTTTTTTTTAATTTTTTTTTTGTATTTATTCTAATTTTAATTTAACTATTTTAATAATTAAATGAATTTAATCGAACAAAACGTTGTTAAGTATTCAATTAATTTTAATTTACATTACCTATTGTACTTTCTAAATTGTAAAGCAGCTAACAATTATAGTAAGATCTTATAAATAACTAACACAACAAGTAAAACATTTTAAATGTATTTTCTTTATTATTACAAATATTTTTTATGCATAATATAATAGTTAATATCTAATAAATACATAATGATCTGATAATCAAATTATAAGTACAGTCTCAAATTGAAAGTAAGAAAAACAGAAAATATAGAGAGAACTATAGGGATATAACAGAAAGATGTGAAAAATGGAGAAGGACAGTAAAAAAGTTACAAATTTAAATAATGTTGCCGCAATTTCTGTTTAAATGAATTTATTACATTATTATATATATTAGGCATACGACTAGCCTTATGACTGTTACTTTTTTTTTAATCTATACATCTATACATGTAAATAAAATTGGAGTGTCTGTTTGTAATATTGAAATAACCGTTTTTACTACTTGCATATGAATATAAATCCGGTACATACACCAAAATAACATATTTTACAAGTTTTGTCTGTCTGTCTGTCTGTTTGTTCCGGCTAATCTCTGAAATAGCTGGACCGATTTTGACGGGACTTTTTTTTGGCAAGTAGCTGATGTAATAAGGAGTAACTTACGCTACTGTTATTTTAGAAAAATAAAATAAAATTTCACGCGGACGAAGTCGCTGGGGCCAGCTAGTCTATAGATATACCGAGATTTAATATTTAAGTTGCTATTATGTTGTTGACAAAATTTTACTGTAATGTTACTATTACGTTATCCTACACAATTTGTATTATTTTGGATGAATAAATAAATAAATAAATAATAATCTATACATCTATACATATAAATAAAATTGGAGTGTCTGTTTGTAATATTGAAATAACCGTTTTTTACTACATGCATATGAATATATATAAGGTACATATACCAAAATAACAATTTTTATAATTTTAGTCTGTCTGTCTGTCGGTCTGTTTGTTCCGGCTAATCTCTGAAATGGCTGGACCGATTTTGACGGTACTTCTTTTTGGCAGGTAGCTGATTTATAAGGAGTAACTTAGGTTACTTTTATTTTAGAAAAATAAAGTTTAATTCCACGCGGACGAAGTCGCGGGAACAGCTTGTTTTTAATAAAAACATCTTTTTTGTGGTACTTGAGAATGTTGAAGCCTGTTGTTTGTAATATTGAAATAACCGTTTTTTACTACTTGCATATGAATATAAATACGGTACATACACCAAAATAACATATTTTACAATTTTTGTCTGTCTGTCTGTTTGTTCCGGCTAATCTCTGAAATGGCTGGACCGATTTTGACGGGACTTTTTTTGGCAGGTAGCTGATGTAATAAGGAGTAACTTAGGCTACTTTTATTTTAGAAAAATAAAGTTAAAAACCACGTGGACGAAGTCGCGGGAACAGCTAGTGTATAATATATTAGAGATACCTACGTGTTTTTTTATTGATGACTAGCTGTACACGGGATTTCGTCCGTGTTGAATTTAACTTTATTTTTCTAAAATATAAGAAGTTAAATTCCACGCGGACGAAGTCGCGTGTACAGCTAGTTGTCGGTAGTCTAGCGATTTAGCTAGCACACTGCTTTGATTCCTGCTTGGTGGTCGAGGGTTCGATTCCTCGCACGCTGCAAACATTTGTATTCATGAGTATGATTGTTTGTAACGGTCTGGGCGTTTTCTATGTATAGATAATATATATGTATTTACGAAAAAAAAATCTTTGTATTTATATCAGTACCCATAACATAATCTTCAGCTACCTTAACTTTAGTCTAGATGAAGCTGTGTGAATTGTCCTGAGATTACTATTATTACTATAATAAATCTTTTCAAATCAGCCGATGTTTATTTTTGCCATAATACGTGCTGTTACCATGTGATAATATTACGTACGTACTTATTAAACTATTAACTTATTATTAAATTATTAACTATTTGTACTGTTTTAAATGTGATGCGTTCATTATTTATATTTCCTTTGAATTAAAGACAAATGTATATATATATATATATACATTTATATAAACTTGCACACTTAGTTGATCCAGCCACGATCCGTAGATATTGCTGATTCCACTGTCTCTCTCTTTCTATCACTATCTTTGTATTCTAATATGCGATGTTGCCGTTCCGGCATGGTCTCGGCCGGAACGGCAACATCGCATATGTTGCGCGTTGTTGCCAAATGTATTCGTCGATAGTAGTAGATACCTATACGCGATATATATTTTTTCAACAATTTCCTGCAATAGTGAATCCGTATCGGCAATTTTTTTAAATGCACAAAGATTTTTTGGCTCTGAATATATTTAAAAATCATTTACTTGTGTGTTGATGAATTTATATACTAGTACATGAAGTACCTAATACTTGTTTTGATTTGAATAGGTAGCGATATTATGAATTTATTATACGTAATCTAAAGATTTTGACGAAATAAAAGTAATTAGTTATCTGTTAACCTTGACTTCATGCTGGCACCAGTATTATCAGATGATGAACATACTCTTCGAAAACTTACATACAGCAGAAATATCGTGTTTGGACTCATTAGATAGGTCTCGATGAATAGAGTTTAAAAAACTTAAAATAAATGGTAAATTAGAAATAATGTATAAATACCCCTTACGTAAAATTCAACCACTTTAAACTTAATAATAATAATAATTAGGAAAAGAGAAAAGCTATACATGTACTGAAAGTAATTGATGTCTTCCACACAATATTTTCACTATTAAACAACTCTGTTTGTTCAGTAAAAGTGTAAATATACTGGTAACCTTTAATCATATTTTATATGCAAGCATTACATATACAAACCCTAAAGTTTTATTTCAGAATAGCCAGTAGTTTTCAAGAAATAAGTCTTTGAAATTGTACGTGTAACTTCTATATATACTAGTTTTTTCACCATAACAAACAACACCAATATGGCCTAGTTAGTAGTTTACCTGTGTACCAATTAATAATAATAGTAATCTCAGGACAATTCACACAGCTTCATCTAGACCCAAGTTAAGCTAGCTGAAGATTATGTTATGGGTACTAGACAACTGATATAAATACAAAGATTTTTTTTCGTAAATACATATATATTATCTATACATAGAAAACACCCAGACCGTTACAAACAATCATACTCATGAATACAAATGTTTGCAGCGTGCGAGGAATCGAACCCTCGACCACCAAGCAGGAATCAAAGCAGTGTGCTAGCTAAATCGCTAGACTACCGACAACTAGCTGTACCGCGTGGAATTTAACTTCTTATATTTTAGAAAAATAAAGTTAAATTCCACACGGACGAAATCCCGTGTACAGCTAGTCATCAATAAAAAAACACGTAGGTATCTCTAATATATTATACACTAGCTGTTCCCGCGACTTCGTCCACGTGGTTTTTAACTTTATTTTTCTAAAATAAAAGTAGCCTAAGTTACTCCTTATTACATCAGCTACCTGCCAAAAAAAGTCCCGTCAAAATCGGTCCAGCCATTTCAGAGATTAGCCGGAACAAACAGACAGACAGACAAAAATTGTAAAATATGTTATTTTGGTGTATGTACCGTATTTATATTCATATGCAAGTAGTAAAAAACGGTTATTTCAATATTACAAACAACAGGCTTCAACATTCTCAAGTACCACAAAAAAGATGTTTTTATTAAAAACAAGCTGTTCCCGCGACTTCGTCCGCGTGGAATTAAACTTTATTTTTCTAAAATAAAAGTAACCTAAGTTACTCCTTATAAATCAGCTACCTGCCAAAAAGAAGTACCGTCAAAATCGGTCCAGCCATTTCAGAGATTAGCCGGAACAAACAGACCGACAGACAGACAGACTAAAATTATAAAAATTGTTATTTTGGTATATGTACCTTATATATATTCATATGCATGTAGTAAAAAACGGTTATTTCAATATTACAAACAGACACTCCAATTTTATATGTATAGATGTATAGATTATTATTTATTTATTTATTTATTTTTTCATCCAAAATAATACAAATTGTGTAGGATAACGTAATAGTAACATTACAGTAAAATTTTGTCAACAACATAATAGCAACTTAAATATTAAATCTCGGTATATCTATAGACTAGCTGGCCCCAGCGACTTCGTCCGCGTGAAATTTTATTTTATTTTTCTAAAATAACAGTAGCGTAAGTTACTCCTTATTACATCAGCTACTTGCCAAAAAAAGTCCCGTCAAAATCGGTCCAGCTATTTCAGAGATTAGCCGGAACAAACAGACAGACAGACAGACAAAACTTGTAAAATATGTTATTTTGGTGTATGTACCGGATTTATATTCATATGCAAGTAGTAAAAACGGTTATTTCAATATTACAAACAGACACTCCAATTTTATTTACATGTATAGATGTATAGATTAAAAAAAAAGTAACAGTCATAAGGCTAGTCGTATGCCTAATATATATAATAATGTAATAAATTCATTTAAACAGAAATTGCGGGAATATTATTTAAATTTGTAACTTTTTTACTGTCCTTCTCCTTTTTTAACATCTTTTTGTTATATCCCTATAGTTCTCTCTATATTTTCTGTTTTTCTTACTTTCAATTTGAGACTGTACTTATAATTTGATTATCGGGTCATTATGTATTTATTTATACATTTATGGGTTATATATTTATGTATGTATATTGTTATTTTTTTATAGAAATGTATATTTTGCTTTGTATTTATATATCTTTTTTTGACATTTCTTATTTATATTAGTGCACCGCCAATAATCTTTCGCTGCACCACTCATGGTTGCCTGGTAAATAACGCGGCAAGATATTAAGTCCGCCACATGTACAAATTTTTTTGTGCATTAAAGTTAAATAAATAAAAAAAATACAATACTGTTTAATGAAAATGCGTATTGTCTAGTGCTTTGAGATGTATCAAAATAAGGTCAACAAAAAAGTCCGTGATGGTATATGTCTATCTCTCAAGGATAACCAACAATAACCATTTTTTATCTTTTACATTTTCGGGAATTTTTTTTATCGTATGTTTCCCTTAAAATCATGTAAACTATGCTATTATGTCATAATCTAAAGAAATAATAATATTTTATAGTGAAATATCCACTATAAAATAGTAATGTAAGTAGCAATGTAATTCGTTACGCGCGAATCAGCTGTTATAAGGTCAAAGGTCGGTGCACCCCGCGTATTTGATAAATAGTGCTTCTCTGGATGTCTTTAAGAGAAAATGGCAGTATGTACGTGTATATGTACAAGTCCTTAAGTGTTAAGTTTTTCAAATGTACAATAAAGAATAAATATTTTTAAGTACAGTACTTACGTACATTAATATAATACCTACTTTTTACTTGTATCTATTGTCATCAAAATTAAATTATAAGTTCTTAACTTGACCACGACTATGTGACCCTCTCTTGGCCCCAAAACGAGTGAAAAAATGAACAGCATACGACGACGACGCATACCTATAGAGTGGAACAACTGCTTATTCAGTTTTATTCAACTATTTAGTCCCTCCACCGTTACAATGAATGGAGGCGGATATTACAATGTATGTAGCATTGCGAATATAAAATATCTAGATTAGGTATAATAAATTCATAATTGATAGACCGTTACGGTATCAGAGCCAAAAAGTCTTCTTTCTTTATTTATGTACTGTTAGATGCGACATCGACTTTGTTTTATACTACACTATGTAATGATTGATATACCTATGTAAAATAAATAAAATATCTGAGGTTTGGACAAAAATTCAAAAGGTATTTTATTTTGAAAAAGTATTTTGAAAATACCTATTTTGCATTTAGTATTTGAAATACAAAACTATTTTTGTTTTTAGAGTGACATTTCTATGAATTCACTGTCGATAGCGAGCGGTGCGATGGAAAAAGATAACCGTTTATAAAAATATAATAAATAGCGCTGGACAATTAACACAGACTGATACTGAACTGATATAAATAGATATTTTTATCTTGTAAATACATATATAATATACATATAAAACACCCAGACCGATGAAATCAATCGATGACCGATGAGTACATATGTTTGCACCGTGCGAGAAATCGAACCCGCGACCATCGGATGTAAAGCGGTGTGACCACCGAGGCAGTCGAAATACATAAATAATCTTATGAATTTAATTTATTCTAATTTGTTTGTGTGCGCGGGGTGCGGTGTACGGTGCTCCCCCTGCCACCGACGTTGCTGGAGCTTGCATGTATGGAGCATTGCGAATATAAAATATCTAGATTAGTAAATTAATAAATTCATAATTGATAGACCGTTACGGTATCTATATATATTCGGATTAAAATAAGTATCGCAGTAAGGACCAGTATATAAAGTGATCAACACAATTAATTGATTTTTGAAATATATATACGGAGCCAAAAAGTCTTTGTGTATTCAAAAAATATCTAATTTGTTTGTGTGCGCGGGGTGGTGTACGGTGCTCCCCCCTGCAACGGTGGAGTTACTATGTATGGAGCATTGCGAATATAAAATATCTACATTAGTAAATTAATAAATTCATAATTGATAGACCGTTACGGTATCTATATATATTCGGATGAAAATAAGTATCGCAGTAAGGACGAGTATATAAAGTGATCAACATAATTAATTGATTTTTGAAATATATTCAGAGCCAAAAAGTCTTTGTGTATACCAAAAATTTAGCCGTTCGGAGCCAGTCATGCACGAATTATTAGTAAAAAATGTGTCGAGTATATCGTACTATCGACGAATATATATGGCCACATCGCAAAATAGAATGCGACGTTGCCATACCGCCTGAGATATACGCGATAGGAGTCAAGTTATTCAGTGCAAAAGGTGGAATCGGCAAGTGTTTAGGTTGTGGCGTGATCAACAAAGTGCCCAAAGAGGTGTTTATATATATATATATATATATATATATAACTAAAAATACTGTAACCTTGTAAAGCTTGTATAAGATGTGGACAGGATAATCCACTTAAAATCTGTTTAAGGTTTACTTACTCCAAAAAAATATTCACACGTCAGCATCAGGTGAGATTGCGGTCAAACGCACTCAAAATTTAATGTAAAAAAAAATTTAGAACAGCTCTGGTTCATTTGCTCAGCTCGATGCTGAATACAGATTATTCAGCATCGAGCTGAGCAAATGAACCAGTGCTGTTCTAAAATTTTGGAAAAGCAGACGTTATAAAATAATGTGTTCTACTTACAGATCGGCTGTCAGTTCCGGTTCTAAAAGTGAGACTGATCACTTTACCTTCAACCACATTAGACAAAATATGGGCAACAATCAATGTATCTCAGTCTCATTAAAATTAACTGAATAATGGTTATTTATAAAACAAATAGTAAACTACTGTTAAATCAAAGTGTTATTGGTCTTTATTTTTAATTAAGGAATAGAAATAACCTATATAGAAATAAGAGAAATAAATTATATTGTGGTTTGGTGAACCAATTTAATTATCTGTATTATGAGATTTCAGAATAGAATAGAATAGAAAATCATTTATTCAAATAAACTTACAATGAAGCACTTTTGAATAGTCATTACATTTTTTTAATCTACCGCTCGTTCGGAAAGCTGTCTCATCACAAGAAGAACGAGCAAGAAATTTGCGTGTTGCTCTTTTAAATAATTTTATTATTACTTTACATTTTTAAGCTTAAGTGTGTGAATACAAACCACCAATTAGCACTAATTCAATTAAATACTCAAATAGAAAAAATATTGAATATATAACCAACTGGTTAAACAATTAATAAGAGGAAATCAGTCATAGTGATTATAGCAGACCGGTCCCTACAAGCAGCACCCGTTCACGAGTATGACGGATGAGCCAGCCATCACTGCGCTCGACCATATATTAGGGAGCCCAATGACCCGGCCCACCACGCCGTCACAAGTCTGGACATTTTAGTGAGCATGACTACTTAAAACACTAGACCACGTCAAAGCTGCTTACAATTGCCATCTGATAGTTATAGTATTCACATTTTACATAAGAATGCATGCGGCAATCAATACAAAAACCGCTACGCTTTCATATTTCTAAAACAATTAAATCAAGAAAGCAATGAGAAAATTAAATTATAATGTTGTATGCTAATAAACTAATTATTTACTTGATATGTTGTCATCTATGAATTCGTCTATCCTGTAATAGGCTTTCTTACATAAAAATTGTTTAATATAAGATTTGAATTGCCTCTCTGTCAGATTTAATGCAGATTCTGGCAGTTTATTATAAAATCTTACGCAATTACCATAGAATGAATTACTCATTTTGTGCAGACGGCATTTAGGTAAAATTAGCTTATTTATGTTGAATTGGGAGATATTCCGAGTGAAATGATCTAGATTTTAATGGATATTTTTAATAAAATACGAACATGATGTTAAACGTAACTTTTAATCTATCAATATATTTTTTTAACAATGACAGAATTTATTACTCAAATACAATTATGTATATTAACCTCTATGTTCATTCAACATGCCCCCTTAATTGTATTTTAATTTAACATGTATTTAAGAACTAAGTAATTAAGAACACCACTAAACATTTTAAGAAAACTACTTTAAAAAAAATATTAATATTACTTACTCACTGAACTATAACTATTACAATAAACAAATAAAAAAACCTTCTGTCTTAAAATAAAATAAAATTACTTGTATAGTTGCCCCCTTAATTTTGTTTTATAAACTAAGAAATAAAATAGGACTTTAAATAAGAAAATTTTACATTTCCAAGAGGCTTCGTCAGAATATCAGCAATTTGATGCTCAGAGGGGCAATATTTTATTTTTAAAAGTCCTTCACTGACTTTTTCGTGTATATAATGATATCTGACATCGATGTGCTTTGATCTTCTGTTCATAATACCGTTGTTAATTAAATGAATTGTACTTTGATTATCTACATAAAGCGTTGCATTAACTTCTTCATTTACTACCTCACTAATTAAGTTTTTTAGGTACATTAACTCCCGGCAACAATCTGCAGCAGCTATATATTCGGATTCCGATGATGACATGGCAACTATGGGCTGTTGTCTTGATGACCATGTAATAGGACCTCCACATAGAAAGATTATATAGCCTGTTGTGCTCTTTCTTGTATGTGGATCATTAGCATAATCAGCATCACAATAAGCTTCTAAATGTAGATTACTGTTATAAAATTTAATACCTGAATTCGATGTCCCTAGCAGGTACCTTAATATTCGTTTTCCATTAATGACATCTTGCTTTGTTGGTTTTTCCACTCGTCTACTACAAAAATTGACCGCAAATGCTATATCAGGACGAGTTTTATTAGCAACATATAATAGCGACCCTATAAGTTCTCTGTAAGGAAAATACGAATTATTAAAATCAATTTCTTCATCTTCTGTCTCTATTTTGTTTGCTCCGATGCACATTGGTATTGGAGTACTTTTAGCATCTTTCATTTCAAATTTATTTATTATTTTGTTAATGTAATTTTCTTGTGTTAATGTAATATGATTATTTTCATTTTTATTAATTTCTATTCCCAGAAATAAACTAGGTTCTGTATTCAACGTCATTTCAAATTCATTTTCCAGCTCTTTTATTAACTTCTCCATTTCTTTTTTATCTTTTCCCATGAGTATTCCATCGTCTACATAAATACCCAATATAAGTGATTCATTTTTAAATAAACATTGATCAGCTTTTATAGGTAACAATCCTTTATTTTTTAAATATGATGTAAATCTCTCGTTCCATTTTAATGGTGCTTGTTTTAAGCCATAGAGTGATTTTTTTAATTTTACATATTTTTCTTCATAACCCTCTGGTAACTTCATGTATATATCTTCCAATAACTCTCCATATAAAAAAGCTGTTTTAATGTCAAATTGCATAATATTGTAATTTTTATATGCAGCAATAGCAAACATTGCTCTTAATGTACTTGTATTTATTACTGGACTGTACGTTTCCGTATAGTCGATTCCTTCTTTTTGTTGACAACCTTTTACTACTAATCCTAGCCTTATAGCGTCCACTTTCCTTAATTGTAAATACCCATTTTGCCGTTAGTATATTTTTATTTTTTACTTCTTCCACATCTATTACATTCCACGTATTATTTTGCTCTAATGATTGCATTTCATCTGCTATAGCTTTTTTCCATTTTAATTTATCATCTCCAGATATTGCTTCTTTGTATGTTAAATATACGAAATCTGGATGTATATTTCGTTTCTTTTCTCTTTTTCCTCTACCTAGTAAAGTATCATCTTTTTCTATAATATTATTATTGTTTGAACAACATGGAGTATTCTGTAAAAAAAATTGTTTGTATGTCTTGTGACTGTTCTTTATATTGTTCATACATATCATTCATACGTACCATCTCTACCGTATCATTAAATTTTTTAATTTCTACATTGTCATTTTGGCAATCCGTTAACAAAGGTGTATTATTATGTTTTTTCTTATTTATATTAATATGAAAATTCATTGGCTATTTCATTAACATCATTATGAAAAATTACATCTCTCTCTACATAAATTTTTCTTTTCTCTTCCGACCACAATCTATATCCAGTAGGAGCATATCCTACCATTATTAATTTTTTGCTTCTAGGTTCAAGTTTTTTTAAATAACCAAGTTTTTTTACATATGCTGTACTGCCAAAACATTCGACATATTTAAGATTTGGTTTTTTATTTGTCCATTCTTCATATGGTGTAATATCCATTCCAACTGTAGGTAATCTATTAAGTAGGTATGTAGCCACTAAAACGGCCTCACCCCACATTTCATTTTTAAGTCCAGATTGGAATAATAAAGTACGAGCTTTTTCCATAATGCTTCGATTTAACCTTTCAGCTTTTCCATTTAACTGAGGTGTATGGTGAATAGTGTAATCTAGTTTTATCCCTTTTCTCTGACACCAGATTTTAAGATCATTATTGGTGTACTCACCACCATTATCATATCTTATAGTACTGACTTTATTCTCTGTTTCACGTTCAACTTCGTTAATATAATCTTTCAGGAGTTGTGACACTTCATACTTATTTCTCATTAAATAGATTTTTACGAAATGTGTAAAATCATCAAGTACAGTCATAAAATATTTCTTACCATCCCAAGTTTCATCTTCGATACTACACACATCAGTATGAATAATTTCTAACTTTCTAGTAGCTTTATTTCTAGAATAAAATGGTTTTCGAGTTTGTTTCGCCATAATACAAATTTCACATTTAAAGTTGGTTAAAAATTTTTCATCTATGTTTATACCAGTTGCCAATTTTGATAATTTTAACAAAGATTCATTTGACGGATGTCCCATTTTAAAATGCCACATACTTGTGTTGTCTTTCTTTGTTGTATATAGTGACATATCTTTTCTGTCAATAAATGTTTCCAAATTTATGACATATAATCCTTCTGCTGTTCTTTTACCGTGTAGGATTGTTTCAGAATCTTTAGTAATAATTACAGACTGATCTGAGAAATTCACTTCACCGCCATTATTTGTTATATTGTTTACAGATAAAAGATTTTGAGTTAAACTGGGTACGAACAAAACTTTTTGCAGTATTATACCTCGACCAATTATTACACCTTGACCCTGTGCCATCATAGTTTCATCATGTTTAGCAACACTGATCTCAGAATGAATTTCTTGAAAATCATGTAGTGTATCTCGGTTGTTTATCATGTGAATTGAACAACCCGAATCCATTATAAATTGTATGCTTTTCTGGTCATTTCACATTTCTTTAGATAGAAAGGTAACGTGTTTGTTATCCTTTTGATATTTATTTACAAATTGTTTTTTATCTGTACTATAGTTGTTCTTCTTTTGAATGCGGTATTTCCGAAAATAGCAATTAGCTTCTATGTGATTTGTCTTTTTACAAATAGAACATGGTTTTGTTCTACATTGCTTCGCATTATGACCCATGCGATTACAATTTAGACATTTTACAACTTTCTGCGTCTTAAAAGCAGTAGCAGTTGTATTCATATATTCAGTTTTATTCAGCCTATTTTCTTCCGTTAAAAGTCGACTTTTTAGGTTTTTAAGGGTCTTTTCATCTGTTTGTGTTGATTCCCATGCAGTAATAAAATATGAATAGTTGTCTGGTAATGAACTTAATATTTTTGATGTTATAACTTCGTCATTCAATTTTTGTCCAAGTTTTTTTAGTCTAAAAGTGAGATTTTCTATTTCTGACAGATATTCATTAATGTTATGACTAGGTCGATATTTATAGTTGAAGAATTCTTGTAAGATTTGACATTTATTACGTTCTTCTGAACCATCATATAAACTACAGAGATTGTCGAACATATCTTTTGCATTTTCACAATTTAATAAGTGTTGTACATGTTTTTTATCAATAGATGTAATTATAATAGCCTGAGCTTGAGCATCTTTTCTTTCCCAGTCGCCATCTTTTTTCAATTCATTATTGCTTGCTATTATTTCAAATAATCCTTTGGCTTTTAGTATTATTTTTATCTCGAACTTCCAGATATTATACGATTCATTATCTACTAGTCTTGTTATGTGGTCTTCATTACTATCACCCGATCTCGCCATTTTTAATGTTTTTAATTTTAATTATTATATTTTATGTAAATATTAATATATTTTATATTATTTGTAGTTGTTAGCCCATAACCTGTTGAATTGGGAGATATTCCGAGTGAAATGATCTAGATTTTAATGGATATTTTTAATAAAATACGAACATGATGTTAAACGTAACTTTTAATCTATCAATATATTTTTTTAACAATGACAGAATTTATTACTCAAATACAATTAGGTATGTATATTAACCTCTATGTTCATTCAACAATTTATATTGCGTAAGTTTCTACTTGTACAGTCTTTCAGTTTTTTAAAACTCTCTAAGTTCTTCCGTGTATACATGATATTTTCATAAATGTATTGTGAAGTAACGGTGAGGATATTTGATTCTTTAAAGCACTGACGTAATGACTCTCTTGCACCCATACCATAAATAGAACGTATGGCTCTCTTTTGTAAAACAAATATCGTATTTATATCGGCTGCTTTACGCCACAGTAGTGTGCCATGAGACATTATGCTATGGAAATAACTAAAATATACAAGTTTAGCCGTCGCCACGTCTGTTAATTGCCTAATTCTTCTAATTGCATATGCAGCAGAACTGAGTCTACTGGCCAATTTTGAAATATGGGGCCCCCATTGTAATTTCGAGTCCACTGTTATACCTAAAAAAACTGTATCATTAACAAAATTTACTATTTCGTCATTAAGCAATAACTGTGTATTTATTAGTCTTACATTAGGAAGTGTAAATTTTATACACTTTGTTTTGCTGGAATTTAATAACAGGTTATTACATGTAAACCAATTTAATATTGCAGACATAGCACAATTTACATCATCTAATTGATTACTTTGACGTCCAATTTTAAACACAAACGAAGTATCATCCGCAAACAGCACTATATCTGCAATTTTTTCTACCATAAAAAGAAAGTCATTTATGTAGATTAAAAAGAGAAAGGGGCCTAAGATTGACCCTTGTGGAACGCCCATCTTAATATTAGCTCCCTTAGATTTTACACCGTCAATATCTACAGTTTGGACCCTATCCTCTAAATAAGTTCTCATTAATTTTAGATCATTATCTCTTATACCATAATGTTCGAGCTTGTACAAAAGCGTTTTATGATCCACACTTTGCCTTTGATAGGTCACAAAAAACTCCGAGTGCATCCTGTGACTTCTCCCAAGATTCGAAAATATGTGTCATTAGCGCTACACCTGCGTCAGTGGTAGACTTGCCGGCGGTGAAACCATATTGCTGACTGTGAAGCAGTCCGTTAACGCTGAAGTGTTGTAACATTTGATTTATCATTATCTTTTCAAACACCTTACTTAGAACCTTACTTTTCGCACTAGTTATGACAGCAACCATAATACTTTATTCTATAACTCATAAAACAAGGAAGACATTTATTACTATTTCGGCAAACTTATTGATAGACAAGAATGAACAGAAACAGGAACATCACTTATGCATTACCATTTTTTTATATTGAGGTCATATCCTAAAATTTTACTAACACATCTCACTGCTCACATTGAAACAAAGTTTTGTACAAAATCTGCCTCATTTTCCACTGCGTTTGCTGGGACCACCTTTATCACCAACAATAATCTAAAGCATGGTTACCATGTCTAGTTATATTCGAAATATTCTAATGCTTTTGGCCATAGTTGTTTTTTTAATCACCACTGGAAAAAATAGGGAGTAGAGGGACCTTTATGGTCACTCCTAACCTGTGGAAGTAGTTACAGAGTATCTCATGAATACAACTTCAATCTAAGAGCAACCCTAGTAGAGTTTGATTCTATATGTCTGAATGTGGCGGGGTTTGTTTGGAGAGGAGTTATTTCTGATATTTCTGTGCTCAAAATTGTTTGGTAAAAAAAAAAGGCATTGGAAATTGGATGTTTTTATTTATATATCAATATCATTAACTACTCAAATAATTTATCTCTCTATATCTTTATCTTATATTAATTCCTAATACAAAAGACAGAGATAGAAATATGATAAAAAAAAGGTATGATGTACAAACTATACATGGCTAATATAGTTTAAACTAGAAAAGAATAGGCAAAAGAGCATGTAATTAATAACTTGGTGTGGTTAGGTGCTAAAACTGTACTAATGCAATTAAAATACACCAATAGTAGATGGGAATATACCTAATAAGTGATATCCACCTATTGACTTACAATGTGCATTCCTAATGCCAGAGACTTGTTACTTATATCTGTAGCACAGAATGATTTTGAAAAATCAATTTGGCAGAATTCCTATTTAACAGCTATTTTATTAATAGTGAATACCATTTAGAATTTACAGTACTGTGACATAAACTGTACATAGCAAATTTCACATTTTTATTTACATCATAAATTGTCCTAAAATAATTAACAAAGTAGTAAGGTACAGGACATGTAAATATTAAAATTATTTACAAATTACAACATACACCGTCTGTACATGTTTCTTTCTAAAAATAATTTCATGTACATAGTGGACGAATTTATACTATACAATATGTGGTCTTACAGTAAATATTGAATACTTAGTTAAAACATTACTGTGCAAATCTGATATCAATAAATATAATATACTAATAAAATACTACACATCATTAACACACCTACTAACTACATCATAATCAGTATTAATCAATTTTTATTGAGAAACTTGCTCCACATGAACATCCTATATCTGCATTAGGATTTTGTATGACTCTAAACGCTGATCTTATTAATTCAGTGTGATAGTCTATTGTAGCTCCCTTAATATAATCCAGGGAAGTCTCGTCAATTACTACTTTGACACCATCTTTTTCAAAAACTCTGAAATCACCATAATTTTAAAAGTTATAAAATGGGGATTTTAGTAATGAGGGATGGGAGACGTCAATGTGGTCCCTCTGGAAGCTACCATGGTTGGTGACTGATAAATTTGTCACAATTGGGTAACTGACCTGACTTGTATTCCTTATATCCCCGACAGTGTACTTCATTCTCACTAGTGTTAGTAACATTTCATTATCCATTAAAATAAACAGATACTGCTTTAAATGTCAATTTTTAGCATTACATAATATATCCCGCACCTCATCAACATTTTGTTAAGAGCGAGAAATTTTCTTATGTAAAATGTAGATTTGGCCAAGTCTTAAAAATTTGGGCTTACTACAATACAATACTAACAGACAATTCTCAATGTTATGCAAATTAAAATCAGAAGGTAATTAGTATAAAAACAGGATGATAAGTTTTAACAAATTTACAAAATTTGGTGTTTATCTAATAGAAGATCTATATATACCTGTCATCATTCTCCATCTTACTGTCCAAGTCAAACTTATATTGAAAACCTGAACAGCCGCCGCTTTCTACACAAAGCCTCAAAAAAGAATTTTTGCCATCACATAATTGCCTTAATTTTGTAACACAAGAATCACTTATATTAATTCCTTCTCCATTTGCTGGCAAGGACTTTGTTATTTGTGTAGAGAGTGGGGCATTTCTAATAAATAAACAGTATGTCACTCTAAAGCTTTGTTTCGTTTTGAAAAGCACCTGAGACAAAAGTTTCATATTATTGTCAGATTACTACTAGTCTAATTAAATACTTAAACTATATAAATAGGTGATTCTGTTAAATCTATGCAATTTTGTCAATTTCGCGATCTTGTGCACCAGTGACATAATTATAGCATGTTTTTTTTTATATCGGAGGCATATTTGACATTTCCTATGTTGCCAGCATTTAACAATTTTAGGGTTGGTTGGTTATTGTCGGTTACCTATTTTCATTGGTTAAGTCAAAATAATGTGTGTGCGGGTGTTTATCTAAAATGCGTTAACTTTAAACAAATAAAATATAGGTATTAATAAATATGGGGTTGTATATCAAAATAGATTATTTATCGACATATATTTCACAAAAACAAATTTTAACTAATACTACAGTCTGCTTTATAATCTCGAAGATTAAATTAACAAGTTTATTTAATTAATCAAAATACTATTACCATACTAGAATCAGAAATGAGGAGATCCGCAGAAGAACCAGAGTGACCGACATAGCCCGAAGAATTGCGACTCTGAAGTGGCAATGGGCAGGACACATAGCTCGTAGGACAGATGGCCGTTGGGGCAGTAAAGTCCTCGAGTGGCGACCACGGACCGGAAGACGCAGCGTGGGAAGTCCTCCAGCAAGGTGGACCAACGATCTGGTCAAGATCGCTGGAAGGCACGGGATGCAAGCAGCGCAAGACCGATCGTCGTGGAGATTTTTGGGGGAGGCCTATGTCCAGCAGTGGACGTCTTCCGGGCTGCGATGATGATGATGATGATGACTATTACCAGCTGTAGCAAGGAAGTGCTGTACCTGCAATGCTTTAAAACTACAATAAAACTTTACCATTTATCGTACAGTTTTATTTTACTATATTAGTTTTAATGCTTCATACAAAGTTTCCACAAAATATTTTCGAAATTTACGTACGTAGACTAGTATTTCTATTACTGTCGTTCATTGTATTATACAGTACTAAAATACATTTATGTGGTTTCTGTACAGATAATAATTTTTACAGTATTAAGCTACCAAACATTTTTTTTAAACAGCTAAATATTTTAAATAGATGTATATTTACATAACACAATTTAAAATACCGTTGTTTTATAAAAAAAATGTTCGTGTTTGTTTCAGTGAAATGTATGTTAAAAAATATATATACTTTGATAGGTACCCTATTATTTACCCTATCTTTATTAACATCTACTTATTATTTAATACTTATTTAGTGTTAATGCGTTTTAACTAAACATTCACTCATTATTTTTGAGTAACCTATAAAAATCGGTAATTAATATTTATTTCCGATAGCGCAACAACACTATTTAAGAATTACAAAAAGCTGGCAACATAATAAATGTCAAATTGGTCTCTAAGATAATAAAAGAATCAGAAAAAAAGCGCGGGAAACGTTCGAAACGCCGCCGCGCCGGGAGTGTTTTTTGGATTTCTTTTTGTTTAAATTAATTTTACTATATATAAGTATTAGTTTTATTTATATAATGTCGACTAGATTAATTGTATAATTATATATTTATCAATAGTAGTAGCAGTTGCTGCAAATATTGGTAAGTAACTTTAATATATAATATCTATTGAGAATGGACCCGCCTATAGACCCTGGGGTAACAGTCCCCCAGATGTCTGCAACTATAAATATTCCATTTAACAATTCTTTTGATATTTTATGTGAAACTAGTATGGATACTGATGGGTCTAATATTACAACCACAAAACGTAAGCGAGTAAGGGGCGAACGCCGCATTTGCAAATACTGTAATAAAAATCGTAGGAGACATCAAAAAGGTACCGAGACAAAATTAAAAGACGGTGACTGTCAATGTGTCGAGGAGGAAAAAAATTATTTAGAAATAATACCTGTAATTGACAATAAAAAATCAGAAATAACAAATATAGTAGACAAACAAACTTCAGATGTAATACCAGTAGTTGAAAATAATAATACATCCAAAAAAGCCACTCCTTCACCGACTTCTGTAAATAGGACTTTGTACAATACTGAAGATGTAGCACCTTTTGTAGTTCATGTTAAAAAAAATGAAACAAATCCTACAAATAATGTAATGTTACACCCCATCGCGTTTGGTCGGTTTTTACATACAAATAAGATCTATAATGTTGTGAATGGCAGCCTCAAAAGAATAGGAAGAAACAGATTGGCTCTTGCTTTTTCAAACTTTTTAGATGCTAACTCTTTTTTAAACCACTGTAGTTTAATTGCCTATAATTATAATGCATTTATTCCTTCTTTTAATGTGACCTGCATGGGTATTGTAAGAGGTATTCCTAAAGACTGGACAGATGATGAAGTAATCAGCAATATTTCAGTACCTATTGGTTGTGGAAAAATATTAAAAATACATAGAATAAAAAAAAAAGACTATAAACGAGGGAGAAACAAACTTTATTAACACTGAAACAGTTGTTATAACATTTGATGGTCAAATTTTGCCAAAAAGAGTATTTATGTTTTATACATCATTAACTGTAGATCTATACATTTATCCAACCATACAGTGCTACAATTGTTGTAGATTTGGACATGTTAAGATGCAGTGTCGTTCAAATCCATGGTGTTATAAGTGCAAACAAAGTCGTACAGGTGATAAATGTAAAGTAGATGAAGACAGAATAAGCTGTATTCTATGTAATGGTTCTCATTTCGCTATTAGTAAGAAGTGTCCTGAATATTCCCGCCAAAAAGCTATTAAAGAAACCATGGCTCACAGCTGTGTTTCATATGCTGAAGCTATGAAATTTCATCCTCCAACCAGTAAATTATACTCAGATGTATTAACATCGTCACCACCTTCATCTATTAAACCACATATCCAATCTTCTCCACAAAAAGACAAATCAGGCCATATTCAATCTTCTTATAAAAAAACTGTTACACTTAAACCACGTTCTCCACAGAAACCACAACGAGGATATGATCGTTCTGCTCATGAGGCCTTAATTAATGAATATAACATTCCTGCGCTCTCAAATGGCTGTGCACTAAGAAATAATAATAATACTAATAATCAATCTGTTGCTGATATTATATTTATGTTAATTAAATTCTTGACGCAATCTAATATGACACAAACCAATTTTTCACCGTCCAACGCTGCCAACCTGAATGTTATATCTCAAATTTTATCAACTTACAATGGACAACAAAGCCTACATTATTCAGTGGAACTGTCGTAGCATAACAAATAAGAAATCTGATCTATTTTATTTGATAAACAATTTCTCCCCTTTCATTATAACTCTTCAAGAGACATGGTTAAAACCTGGATATCCATTTAAGATTCCAGGTTACTCATGTTTTCGTGATGATAGAGCTGACGGATATGGCGGTGTTGCCATATTGGTCAAAAACTCCCTTTCATATTTATTATTTTCCCTACCTTCATATAATGGAATTAATGCTATTGCATTAATAGTAAATAGTATTTGTTTTGTTAGTTTATATATTCCTACCCCCTCTTCTCAATTATATTCAGAATTAGAAAAAAATATATCTATTTTACCTAAACCTTTTCTTATTATGGGTGATTTTAATGCCCAACATCAATCGTAGGGCAGTATCACCTCTAATTATTACGGTGAGAAAATTATAAGTATAATCGACAGTCATAACTTATGTATAGTTAACTCGGGTGTACCAACACGTAGAACTGGCCCAAATGAAGGTGTTAGCGTCCCTGATATTTCTCTGTGTTCTTCTGATATAGCTTCTTCGCTTTCGTGGTCTCCTCACTACTCATCATTCGGAAGTGATCATTTTCCCCTTATTTTATCTTTACCTCATTCCATTCCTCCAAATCGGAAAACCGGTCCTCGTCTTAAATATAACTTAATGAATGCAGATTGGGTGACGTTTAAACAATATGTAGGCAATAGGATTTCAAAACTACCTCTTATTTCTCACGGAAATGAGCACCAATGTTCGAATAGTTTAGTAATGCTTATGATGGAAGTTGCTGATATGCTATTTCCTATAAAAAATAGTGCTTCAGGAAAAATTCCATCCCCTCCTTGGATAAAGAATGTACAGACGTCATTAAACAGCGTAAGGAGCTGAAAAGAATTATAACAAGTATATGACATCAGAAAACTATGAAATTTATTGTGAAATATCTCGTTCCACCCAGAAACTACTAAAAAAAAGAAGTTGGAAGGTTGGAGAAAGTTTTGTTCCTCAATCTGTCCCGAAGTTAACCTCTCTGTCGTTTGGAATAATATTAAAAGATTTAGATCTGTATATACCGGACACACATCACTTTCCATAATGGATTCAAAATTAGCAGACGAATTTTTAGACCGCCTTGCTAGGTGCAAGGCGGTCTAAAAATTCGTCTGTTACGTTCCAGAATATCATAATCAGCTTTCTCCACCAACCTAATTATCGACACTCGGTTCCCCTTTTAGTCTTATTGAATTTAAAGGGGTATTATCACATATTAAAGATTCTGCACCTGGAGAAGACGGTATACCGTACTAATTTTTTAAAAATTCTAAATATACAACACTAGTTTACTTTTTAGATTTCATTAATTCAGTAATGATATCCCGTAAGATACCTGCGTCATAGAAATCACAAATTATTATACCTTTTCTGAAACCTAATAAACCACCTTTGGAGCCCTCTTCTTATCGCCCTATAGCACTTTCATCGATATTACTGAAATTGGCTGAACACTTGGTGAAAATCGTCTGGAGTGGTTTGTAGAAAGTAATAACTTACTTTCACCAAACCAGTTTGGATTTAGGAAGGGTAGAGGTACGTTAGATAACGTTAGTATTTTAACCTCAGATATTCACATAGCATTTTCGCAAAATGTGTCGATTTTATCAGCTTTCTTGGATATTAGTTCTGCCTATGACAACGTCCTAATTACAATTCTTAGAACTAAATTAATAGCCTTGAATATTCCATTTATGCCTTCTAATTTTATTATTAATATTTTGTCAGAGAGAACAATAAAATTGTATTTAGGTGATGATAACAAACTATCCAGATCAGTATGGAAAGGTCTGCCTCAGGGATCAGTACTTAGTCCAATTTTATTTAATATATATACATATGACCTTGAAACATCTCTTAGCAAATCC